AGCTCTTTTGCTGGAGAAGGAAATTGTTCTCAGGTGGACCTCTTAGGCAGGGCTCCAGAAGAAGACTGAATGGCTCTGTGGGCAGCCTCTGGCCTTGCATGTGAGCTTCGGGTCATTTTTTCTTAGCATTGTCTAGGCAGGAAGGTTTATGTGTCTGGGAAGTTTTTAGTAGGTCTTTGCCGACAGCTCTTTTGAACTGAAGTGCTGACCCTCAGAGGCAGCCCCAGGCCAGGAAACAGACTCCTTCCCGCTCACACGTCCAGAGGGTGGAGTCTTCATGGAACCTAGATAATTGTCTGCCTTCTGTATTGCTTCCTGCCATTGAGTTCCTTCAGTTCCTGTAGACAGATTATTAATAATGATAAGAATAATATTGCCCACAATAACTGCTATCAAATCTACACTTGCCTATCAAATAATCCAGTGCCTTGCCCACACCCCTTCTTTTAGGTGTGAGAAAGAGTTAAGAGGTTGTTATCATCCCCATTTGACAGACAAGAAAACTGAGGCTGTCATGGGTTCTTTACAAAAACCTTTGTAGCATGCCTGTGGTGGAGAACTGTATGCAGGTCACTCCTGACTGGGTGGACCCTGTGGATGCCTATTTCATTGTTTAAACCTAGGAGTATCGTGTTCAGAGCCAAAAGATCGAAGTTATGGGTTTCGCCCTGCTGGGGCTCAGCTGAGTAAAAAATCTCCTCTGTGAGATGGAGATAATGTTACTTCCCTGCTCTCCCTGCTGGAGTCTTTATTATAATTAAGTAAGACTCTAATACTCCAATACTTTGGCCACCTGATGCAAAGAGCTAACTCATTGGAAGAGACCCTGATGCTGGGAAAGACTTGACAGCAGAAGGGGGTGACAGAGGATGAAATGGTTGGATGGCATCATCAACTCAATAGACACGAGTATGAGCAAACTCAGGGAGATAGTGAAGGACAGGGAAGCCTGACATGCTGTAGTCCATGGGGTCCCTAAGAGTTGGACACGACTGAGCAATTGAACAATAATAAAGAATCTAATGGGGGGTATGTAAACCCTAAAGAGCCTTCACAGACATTGGTGGGTTAACTCCATCCTGCTCCTGTTACAGTTTCTTAGTTCTTTCTGGATCCACACAGAAAAATCAGATGATGCACCTGGGCACAGATGCTCCAAATTTTCCATGTAATTAAAAAAATAATAATATTTATTTATTTATTCTTGGCTGTGCTGGGTCTCCACTGCTTCACGAGTTTTCTCCAGTTGCAGTGAGTGGGGGCTACTCTCTAGCTCCAGTGCACAAGCTTCTCATTGCCATGGCTTCTCGTTGCAGAGCATGGGCTCTGGGGTGCATAGGCTTTAGTAGAGGTGGTGCACTGTCTTGGTTACCTCGAGGCATGTAGAACCTTCCCCGATCAGGGATCAACCCTGTGTCGCCTACACTGGCAGGCAGATTCTTAACCACCAAGGAAGTCGCTTCACATCTCTTATTCAATGGCTTCCCCCCCATCTTTGGATTGTGACAATCTTGGGAAGAATTAAAATTCCAGAAAAATTTGCCTAAGAACCCCTTGCAAAGCTTGCATTTTCCCCCTTCTTGACCTATAGGATTGATTTTCATTATATAAATTTCAGCAGCTACAGTTATTCAAGCTCATCTTATTGTGTATAGACATTTTCCTCCTTTTTAAGTTGTAGTCAAGCACCCATTTGGTGAAGGGCATGGCAACCCACTCCCACTCCTAGAGAATCCCATGGACCGAAGAGCCTGGTGGACTACAGTCCATAGGATCACAAAGAGTTGTACACGACTGAAGTGACTTAGCACACACGCACGCAAGCACCTATTGGAGATGCTGCCAGTGGGAATTCTGCCTCTGTTAAAAAGGAGATTCTGACACCTGCTATAACATGGATCAACTTTGAGGACGTGTTGTGGTTTAGCCACTAAGTCATGTCTGATTCTTTGCAACCCCATGGGCTGAAGCCCCACCAGGCTGCTTTGTCCATGGGATTTCCCAGGCAGGAATACTGGAGTGGGTTGCCATTTCTTTCTCCAGGGGTTCTTCTCAAGCCAGAGATCGAAACTGCATCTCCTGCATAGGCAGGTGGATTCTTTACCACTGAGCCACCAGGGAAGCCCTAATGACATGATGCTCAGTGAAATATGCCAGACACAAAAGGACACACACTGTCTGATTCTGCTCATTGGAGGTCCCAAGAGGAGTCAGATCTGTACAGACAGGAAGTAGATGGTGAGGGTCAGGGGCTGGGGGAGGGGAAGGGGGGGGTCAGTGTTTCTTGGAGACAGAGTTTCAGTTTGGAAAGGCAAGAACGTTCTGGGGATAGTTGTGCAACAATGTGAATGTACTTAATGCTACTGAGCTGTGTGCTTACAATTGGTTAAGATGGTCAGTTTTACACATATTTTGCCACAATTAAAAAAAAATTTGTTCCTCGTTGCACTAACCACACTCAGCAGCCACAGGGAAGTGGCTACCGTGTTGGACAGCGCTGATCGAGATGATTTCCGTCAACGCAGAAAGTTCCACCCGACACCGATCCTTACGTGGAAATGTAGCTTCAGAGGCCTTTTAAGTTCCCTGGGTCTGGTCGGTGGTGTCCACGTGGGCCCTAATGTTCACCGCAGCTCTCAAAGGGCCTGGGGATTTAGGGGTGAAGAACATGTCCCAGCTTCCAAACCGTGTTTTGAGCTATGCAGGAAGTGAGCAAAGAAGGCATCCTTGGGGAACAGGCTCAGCTTGTGGCCTCAAAGGAACCATCCGTCCAGGGACAAATTTGCTGGCAGCCTGGGAAGGGAAGGCTGGTCATGGAGGTCCAGGCCAGATACTGAGGGACCAAAATCAGGAGCAATCATGAAGTCATGAGTAGTGAGATGTCAGGAGAAAGAGTGTGTTACAAGCTGCTGGAGAACCCCAGAGTGGAGTCCAGCCTTCAGTGGACAAGTTCAGTTGCATCAAATAAGAAACTCCAGGATAGGAATGCAAGCACAGTCTCTGCCCCGTTCATCACCTCCCGCAGGTCACAGCAGAAATATCACCTCCACTTACCTTCGGCACAGTGCTTGCTGTGTATGCAGTTATACTTTTTTTTAATTTAAAAATTGTTATTATTATTTTTGGGCTATGCTAAATCTTCAATGTGGAGTGCAGGCTTTCTCTAGTTGCAGTGCACAGGCTTAGTTGCCTTACCACGTGTGGGATCTTAATTCCCCAACCAGGGGTTGAACCTGCATCCCTTGCATAGGAGGGTGGATTCTTAAACACTGGACGACAGGAAAGTCCCTGCAGTTATACTTTTAGATGATGAATATGCCTTCTCCATTAGATTCGTGGTCCTAAAGGCAAACTCTGTGGCCAATGTGTTCCCACAGGGGTTGTAAATATCTGGATGAGTGTAAGCAAATGTGCACTGAAGCAGAAATGAACCTTTGGGACATTTGCTTAACCTCCTCTCACCTCAGTTTCCTCATTGTAAAATGGAGAAAATGTAGATCAGGATACATCTGTACCAGTATGGCAGCTACGTGCAGGAGCAGACTTGCTCGAGGCAATTGTGTAATTTTCAGGAAATGTGCAGACTGCTTCTTAAACAAGCTGGTAATTCTGTTTATTTGTTTCTAGTCTTTTTTTTTTTTAACTTTGTTGGAATACAGTTGCTTTAGAGTGTCATGTTAGTTTCTAATGTACAGCAAGGTAAATCAGCTATACATATACATATATCCTTTCTTTCTTGGATTTCCTTCCCCATTAAGGTCACCACGGAGTCCTGAGTAGGGTTCCTTGCACTGCACAGTAGGTTCTCATTCGTTATCTATTTTATATGCAATATCAATCATGTGGAAGTGAAAGTGTTAGTCACTCAGTCGTGTCTGACTCTTTGTGACCCCATAGACTGTAGCCCGCCAGGCTCCTCTGTCCATGGAATTCTCCAGGAAAGAATGCTGGAATGGGTTGCCATTTCCTTCTCTAGGTTATCTTCCCAACCCAGTGATTGAACTCGGGTCTCCCACATTGCAGGCAGATTCTTTACCATCTGAACCACCAGGGAAGCCCTGGTGTATATATGTCAATACCAATCTCCCAGCAAGCTGGTATTAAAATTTAAATGACATCAACTTATAATTAAATTATGTTAAAAAGCAAAGAAAATAAATACTTCATACTTACCACTTCCTAATCACCTCAGTACCTTTTTCTATGATTATGTTTTTGAGGTTGTTTGCTACTACTGTTTCTATGTGATTGGATGTATTATTTAATGCTATGCTACTGTAGATCTCTCGCTGGCTTCACATGCAGTAACTTTAGGTGGGGTAGCTTGAAAAGGACCCTGGTGAGAATATTTACACCATGGAAATTGGCCAGTGCTCTAAAGCAAGAGGTTCTCTGCCCCACTCAACGAAGAAGTTGTTGAACATTTAAGAGCACATCACTGGTTTGGGGGCTGAAATGTAATAGTTATGCCTGGGAGTTGGGACATCAGAAACTAGCATTTTTTAAAACACATATTTATTTATTTTGAGCTGTGCTGGGTCTTTGTTGTGGTGTGGGCTTTTTCTCTAGTTGTGACAAGCGGGGGCTCCTCTCTAGTTGCTCTGCATCGGCTTCTCATTGTGGCGGCTTCTCTTGTTGCAGAGCATGAGCTCTAGGGCACACGGGATTCAGAAGTTGTGGCAAACGGGCTCCGGAGTTGCAGCTCCCGGCCTCTAGAGCACTGGCTCAGTGGTTGTGGAGCGCAGACTTGGTTGTTCCTTGGCACGTGGGATCTTCCTGGGCCAGGGATGGAACCCGAGTCCCCTGCGTTGACAGGCGGATTCTTTACCACTGAGCCACCAGGGAAGTCCAGAAATTTGTATTTTTAACCAGCAGGCAACATGTGCTGTAGAAGTGAGCCGTGGCTGACATGATTTTGTTTGGCTTGCACTTCCTCCTCTTGAGTTGCTGTTGCGGCGTTGGGTAAAGCTGTTGACCCACTGTTTTCTTTCTCTCTCCAGTTTGTCCGACCATCTGTAAGTCACATGGCTGCACCTCTGAGGGTCTCTGCTGCCACAGCGAGTGCTTGGGCAACTGCTCAGAGCCGGACGACCCCACCAAGTGCGTGGCCTGTCGCAACTTCTACCTGGACGGCAGGTGCGTGGAGACCTGCCCTCCCCCTTACTACCACTTCCAAGATTGGCGCTGCGTGAACTTCAGCTTCTGCCAGGACCTGCACAACAAATGCAAGAACTCTCGGAGGCAAGGCTGCCACCAGTATGTCATTCACAATAACAAGTGCATCCCCGAGTGCCCCTCTGGCTACACGATGAATTCCAGCAAGTGAGTCCTGAGTGTGGGTTCCGAGGGGGTGGAGGGCAGGTTGTCAAGAGGGAAAGGAACATGGCTGGTAGCACCACCTGTTAAAATTGTGTGAGAAGCTAGAGTTTATTGGCTATGAGCGAGGAAGCTGCTGATGATGAGTGACACAGTTGGGTCTCTCAGATGCCATTCTGGCCTCCTGGTTTTGGGCACTGGCCTTTGGAGAGGAAGTCGATGACCTTTCTCTCAAAGGGCAAGATAGTAAATATTTTTGGCATCTTGCATACCAAAAATTGAAAGCTTTCTGTGCTTATCATTGGAAACAGAAGTCCTTACTTTCATATACAGTCCTTTATATGTCCTGATTGCTCCCGCTGATGGAACTGTCCATCACAACCCAGGTCAGAGCTCAGATTTTTTAAATGTTTTCTCCAAACTGGATCTGGATCGTGTCCTGAGGTTAGCCTGGAGTGCAAGGAAGAGGACTCAATTTTAGATTATTCTCAAGGCTTGTTGTCTTTTGAAGGACAATACCATCAAACCATTTCCTACTGTTTGGGTGAGAAAAAGCAGGGTTTTCTCTCCCCAGGGGTGAGTCAGATTTCCTCCCACACCTCAGACTTTTTGTTCACTCTGTTAGCTTCTCAGATGAGCTATTTTGGGGGCTTGGGGCTGGAACAGAGTTTAAAAAAAATCTGTTTCCTGGTTTTTGTGTTGAGGGTCTGAGGAAAAAAACGCCACAAAACAACACAAAAACAAATCAGAGATAGACGCACGTCGAGGGGCCTTGAGCTGACCTGCTTACGTAAAACATCTTCCCTCTTCAGACTTGGAAATGAGCCAAGTGAGAGTGTTCTGGTGGGAAATTTTATTTCCCTGGGTGGGGAGGGTGGGAAGGAAAACAACCTTTATTCTGGATCCTAGGAGCTGCTCTCTGAGTGTTTGTGAAACCTGCAAGTACAATACGTTTTGTTTCACTGTTTTTGATAAAACCTATCAAGTGGCTTTGTGGACCAAAAATAGGCTCCTATAAATCACCTTAGCATTCCAGACAGAGCTATTTTTTTTCTTTTTGGGGGCCAGTTTATCAGTAAGATTGGGAAAATGACCATATTCCTCTTGATTTATTTATTTTTTTCATGTTTGAAATAAAGCAAGGATATCAGCATCTTCCACTAAAAGACACTGGCTTTAAATAGAAGAAGGTTTTTTTTTTTCTGATCATAACAAAGTTATGAGAAATAGAGCACCTTCCTCTGATGTTTTCCTGATGGCAGTGGCCCCAGTATTGAAGACCCAGGAAGTTAATGTCTTGTCCATGATGCTTGGGACCTCTACTGAATGAAAGAGGGGAAAGAGAGGGATGCTAATGATTACCCATTCTGGCAGTAGTTGAGGGCTGCCCAGGTGTTGCTAGTGGTAAAGAACCCGCCTGCCGATCCTGAAAACATAAGAGACTTGGGTTCGATCCCTGGGTCGGGAAAATCCCCTGGAGGAAGGCATGGCAACCCAGGCCAGTATTCTTGCCTAGAGAATTCCATGGACAGAGGAGCCTGGCGGGCTACAGTCCATGGAGTCACAAAGAGTTGGACACGACTGAAGCGACCTAGCACGCAACATGGCAGTATGTTACTTTGTCAGTTAAAAAAAGTTTTTTTTCCTTCTGAAGCTTTTATTTTGTGGAAGACTTCAGTGCTGTCATGTTTTCTTATGTGGTTTGATATCAAATGGGGCCAGATATGTTTTCTTTCTTTCTTGTGGCTTTATCTGGGAAGTCGTTCTTGATGTTTTTATAGCAGAGGACTGTGAACCCATGTGGGTTCATTATATTCCATCCATGGTCACTCCGAGATACATGGTAGGGTACACTTTAGTGAGATGAGGAGTATTAGATATTTGGGGTGCATATTAAGGGTGTGATGGGCATGGGGCATCCCTGTCCTTCCCCCCGCCCCACCCCCTGCCCACCTTCTAGAATTCTCTGCCTCTTGATCTTTGCATGGCTGGTTTCTCCTGGTCACCCAGGGCATCACAGCTTAAAATTCACTTCCTTTGAGACTTCTTTCCTGTGTGACCACCCTGCCCGAATTAACCATCTGGCTACTCTTTGGCACATCTCTCCATTTTAACACTTTTCATGCTCCTTACCACTAACTGATATTTTCATCATCCTTTTGTTAATTTTCGCCAATGAGACCATATGCTTCAGAAATGTATCAGCTAGCTCTTGCTGTGTAACAAACCTCCCAAGTACTTTGTAACTTGTAACAGCACTCGTTTATGATTTCTGTTGATTTTGTGGATTGACCAGAGGTTTATCTGGCTCGGCATGGGTCAGCTCTGATGGGATGGTACAGCCTAGCCTCTCACACCCTGCATGGGCAGCTGGGGCCTCTCTCCATGTGTATTCAGGAACAGCAGGCTTTAAACTGTGTAAGTTCTTCTTCAGCCACTGCTGTGTCGCAAGTGCTAATGCCTCGTCAGCCAAAGCAATTCAGAGGGCCACGCCCAGATTCCATGGATGAGGAGGCAGCCTTCACTTCTTGGCTGGAAAAGGACGTGTGGACTTCCCACAGGGGAAGTTGGTTGGTTGTTCACTTGTGTGTGCCTGCGGTTTACAACCGGCATTGGCAAAGGGCCAGATAGTAAATATTTTCCGCTCTGAGGGCCATATGGTTGCGGCTACTCTAGCCTTATAGAGTGATAATGGTCATAGATGGTACTCAAACCCATGGGTGTGTTCTGATACAGTGCTAGTTAGAACAACAGGTGGCCAGCTGGAGTTGACCCATGGGCCAGAGTTTGCTTATCCCTGGCCCAGAGGATCATCTGTCACATGATAAGTGCTCAGTGAATATTTGTAGAACCAACAGAAGAACCCAAACATTTGCTTATTATTCTGTTTCCACCCCAGCTGCTCTGACACCAGCTGGGTGTACTACAATAGATGTCAACATCAACCACCTGGAGTTGGCATCGGACCCACAAGTTAAAGGCTTGGTCCTCCACCGGACTGGCTTTACTTCACATGCCAGCCACAGTTTGGGGGTCCCCAGGGCAGCCACGTGGGCACTAGTGGTAAAGAACCCACCTGCCAATGCAGGAGACGTAAGAAACTCCGGTTTGATCCTTGGGTTGGGAAGATCCCCTGGAGGAGGGCATGGCAACTCACTTCAGTATTCTTGCCTGGAGAATCCCATGGACAGAGGAGCATGGTGGGCTACAGTCCATGGGATTGCAAAGAGTCAGTCAGACACGACTGAAGCGACTTAGCACACACGCATGCAAGAGCACCCACACAGCTGGTTGGTTGGCTATAAATTTGGGGGCTCCCACAAACCCACTGGGTTCAATAACTTGCTGGGGCAACTCACAGAACTAAAAGAAAAAGGCTGTTGGTCCAAGCCTATGGATGGTAGCACCCTGGGTTAGGGATGCCTACGGAGCTCACCTAAGCACACATCACCTGTAGCAAGCTCTGCAGACACTGTCCCCGGGGTGGGGGGGGCGGTCCTATTTATGGCTGGGCCAACTCCTGTTGCGCTTCAGCAAGAAATCATCAGGGAACTTTAAGGAACAAGGTTTGTCATTCACAGATCCTGGAGGGCCACACAGTGAGGTTGTGGGAAGGGGGAAGGAAGAAGGAAGGGAGAGAGACACACAGACAGGAAAAGAGAGAGGGGGAAAGAGAGAGACAGAGTCAGAGAGAGAGAGGAAAAGAGGGGGAGAGAGGAAGGGAAAGAGAGGAAGTGGCCCTTGGGAGGTCTGCTTTTCGTAGGGTCTGAGGGCGGAGTGTCTGGGGTTTGATGGCTTCACTCTGGTGAATTTAAAGCTCAAGAGTGGGAACTGGAGCACAGGAAGAGAGAGGCAGTGTCCGTCAAGTGGTCAGTTATCTAGGTTCCTCAGGGCTTTCTGAAAGAGGGACCTTTTAGGGGTGGGGGCAGCCTTGTTCCTTATCTAGTTGTTTTCATTACATTTTACTCAAGACAGATGTCTTTTGAAATAGATGCCTCAGCAGTCAAAAAGCTTCGTGTCAGGCACTTACAATTACAGCTTTATTATTAAGGAGACGTAGAGGATGAGGGCTGGGAGAGCTCCAGATGCAGGGCTCCCATCCCCTCATGGAATCAGAAGCATCACCCTTACAGCACAGCTGTGTGCTCACCAGCCAGAAAAATGGACTGAGTTGGTGTCCAGAGTTTTTCTTGGGATTTTGTTATATAGCTGTGATCGATTGAATCACTGGCCATGGATTTGAGCTCCATCTCCAGCCTCCTTCTCTCTTTGGAGGTCAAAGCGATGAGGCAACCCTCCAAATCACACATTTGATCTTTCTTGTGACCAGTCCTCATCCTGAAGCAACTAGGGGTCACTGCTTCATTAGCACAACAAAGATGTTTCTATCACTCAGGAAATTCCAAGGCTGTTGAAGCTCTGTGCCAGGAGCTGGGCACCAGATGTGTTCTTTATTATACCACCATGACAAAGATCCTCCTGCAAAATTGAATAGGAAGAGGTGTAGAAATAACAAGGGTAGCAATGATAACCACTAGTAAAAAGTGATCATCATAGCAAAGGACTAATGGTTTTTGTTTTCTATGTGCCAAGTACTTTAGATGGCATATATCATTCAGTCATTAAGTCCTCATCACCACCTGCCCTGTGAAGCAGATATTCTTATCATCTCTATTGCACAGCGTGTGTGCCTGCTAAGTCACTTCAGTCGTGTCTGATTCTTTGCAATCCAGTGGACAGTAACCTACCACTCTTCTGTCCATGGAATTCTCCAGGCAAGAGTACTGGAGTGGGTTGCCATGACCTCCTCCAGGAGATCCTCCCAACCCAGAAATCGAACCCAGGCTTCCTGCACTGCAGGCAGTCTCCTTCATTGCAGATGGACTCTTTACCAACTGAGCCACCAGGGGAGCCCCAAGATACTGGAATGGGTAGCCTATCCCTTCTCCAGTGGATTTTCCTGATCCAGGAATCGAACCGAGGTCTCCTGCATTGCGGGTGGATTCTTTCCCAGCTGAGCCACCAGGGAAGGTCAGACCCCACACAGAACAGCAGACAACCCATCACCTTGCAGTAGCAGCCTGAGTACCACTAGCTGGGGTAAAATTATTAGCTCTGCATAATTGGTCACTACGGTTGTGTCAGGAGTCCCATTAGTTCCTTGTAATAGTGTGAGTTCTGTCTCCGGGGTAGAACATGATTCTCCATGGGGTACAGTGGGAAGCCCCTCTCTTTGGGGTAAGGCAGGAGCCCCATCATTTTGGCATGAGTACCCTGACCTTGGGGTAATGCTGTAGAACCTGTCATCTGGAGAATTGCGCTAAGCCTATCACTTTAGACAGTGGTTCGTATCTGGAGGGGGCTTTTTGCACCTCTTTCCCCAGGGGACAATGTTCAGAGACATTTTTGGCTGTCATGCCTTGGATGGGAGGTGGTGTTAGCATAGCATGGGAGTGCGGGGATGCCGCTTAACACCCCTCATGTGCAGGACAGCCCCCAACAATGGAGAATTCTCCAGCCTCAATGTCAGCAGTGCTGTGGTTGAAGCGCTCTGCCTTATAGTCACTTGGGACCCTGTGCAGCACGCTCTCTGGTGTGTGTGTGTGTGTGTGTGTGTGTGTGTGTGTGTGTGTGAGCGTGTCCTGATCTTTCTCTCCACCCTTTATGCAGCTTGATGTGTACCCCTTGCCTGGGCCCCTGTCCCAAGGTATGCCACCTCCTGGAAGGTGAGAAGACCATTGATTCAGTGACATCTGCCCAGGAGCTCCGAGGCTGCACCATCATCAACGGAAGCTTAATCATCAACATTCGAGGGGGCAGTGAGTGCTCTGGGGGGAGGGGTTGCCGCCTCCTGGGATCCACTCTCCCTGTGAGCACACCAGAACAATGCTTGGAGACCCATCAGTGGAGTCATGCAAGGAACAATGTGCTTCCAAACTTGGGGTTCACAGCTCAGTCCTGGACCCATCACAATATTGTAATTAGCTTCCAGCGAAAATAAATAAATTTTTAAAAATGGAAATGCCTGATGTCCCAACTCTCAGCTTGGAAAATAAGAATCTTGGGGTGGGGACAGGGAGAGGGGCAGGGAAGTGGGTCCAGGACTGAGCTGGGACATCAGGCATTTCCATTTTTTAACATTAATTTATTTATTTTAACTGGAGGCTAACTGTTTTACAATTTTGTGATGATTTTTGCCATACATTGACATGAATCAGCCACGGGTGTACATGTGTCCCCCATCCCAAACCCCCCTCCCACCTCCCTCCCCATCCCATCCCAAGTAGATAGCATGACCTCTTTTGCAGGTCTGGGGACTGTGTTTCCAGAAATTCTGTCACAGACAAAAAGCATTCCTCTGTTTATTTATTCAGCAAACGTTTATTGACTACTCACAGTGAATAAGGCCAAGTCCATGCGTGGTGGATCTTGCAAAATAAACAAATGAATGTATAATATAAACCCAGGCAGTGGTTCCTGCTATGAAGTGAAACAAAGTAGGGGAATGGAGGGAGCAGGGGTCGGACATGCAATAAATACATTCAGCTTTTAAGTCAGGACAACCTCTGTCATAACCACACTGCCTGATGAATGTGTTTGGAGCTGGGCTTGCAAAAATCATTTTCAGCCTGGAAGTTAACTCTTGACCATGGGGAATTCTGAAAAGGTTAAAATATTTTGGTAGCAACCCACTGGATATTCATTCTCTCCTTTTCTTAGACAACCTGGCAGCCGAGCTAGAGGCCAACCTTGGACTCATTGAAGAAATTTCAGGATATCTGAAAATCCGCAGGTCCTACGCCCTGGTGTCACTTTCCTTCTTCCGGAAGTTACGTCTGATTCGAGGGGAGACCTTGGAAATTGGGTATGTGGGCCTGATGCTGTATCTGTGGCCTCACTAGGAAGTTTGTGAGTTAGAAAATCTTGGGTTTTTTTCTGTCAAGACTTGGAAACAATGTAAGTATCCACTGATGGATGAATGGGTAAAGAAAACATGATGTGTGTGTATATATATAAACACATATATATGTGTGTATGTGTGTGTATGTATGTATATGTAATGGAATATTATATAACCATAAAACTACCCTTTTTGCCAAAGGTCACACCTTTCATTTGGATTATTCCAATGACCTCCTTGCTGGTTCTAGAACTACTAGGGTCATCCCACAGAAATATAATGCAAGTCACATATGAGACTTTAAATGTTCTAGTAGCTACATTTTAAAAACTTTAGAAGAAATAGGTGGAATGAACTTTAATAATGCATTTTACTGAACCCATTAAATCTGAAATGTTATTTTGACATGGACTCAATATCACAAAATGATAAATAGGATCTTTTACATCCTTTTATTTCACGCTAAGTGTTTGAAATTTGTGGGGGTTTTTTTGTTTTTACTTCTGATACAGTTCACAAAGCCCACGCTTCAGGGGCTCAGTAGGCAAGCATGGCTGGTGGTTTCTGTGTTGGATAACGCAGGTCAAGCTGCTGTCCGTTTCCTGTTCATCGTGTCCTGGTGGCCCACTCGTAATTCTAAGGCGTAGGTCTACCTGAGTTACTGAGCTGTTACAAAACCTTCAGTGGCCCCCCTCTGTCTACTGAGGAGGCGCATGTGTTCTTGGTCTTGGTCTAGCATGCAGTATGCTGGAGGGTTTGGTCCAGGTATCTCTTCAGGATTGCCTCTCACCTGTTGTTTAGAACAAACTACTTTGCTCTTCCCTGGGACCAGCTCAGGTGCCTCTGTGTCTTCAATCTTTCCTTTTTGAGATATGAATTGCATATCTCAATCCATCACAGTCTTGCCCTTCAATCTTTCCTTTTTGAGATATGGATTGCATATCTCAATCCATCACAGTCTTGCCCTTCAATCTTTCCTTTTTGAGATATGGATTGCATATCTCAATCCATCACAGTCTTGCCCTCCTCCCCTACAAGACTGATCTCAAGTATCTTCCTGGCCTTGAGGACCTCCCCAGCTTCCCCTATACCCCTCACCCTCCATTCAACACGTGATGAGCGTGTGTCAAGCAAGTGGTTAGAACTGGGGATGGAGCACTGAATGAGGTCAGTTCCAGCCATGGTCCCAGCATTTTGAAGGTGGAGGTGACGAGCTGATGAATGATTAGGTGTGTGTGTGTTTCCATAGGAACTACTCTTTCTACGCCTTGGACAACCAGAACCTACGGCAGCTATGGGACTGGAGCAAACACAACCTCACCATCACCCAGGGGAAGCTCTTCTTCCACTATAACCCCAAACTCTGCCTGTCGGAAATTCACAAGATGGAGGAAGTTTCAGGAACCAAGGGGCGCCAGGAGAGAAATGACATTGCTCTAAAGACCAATGGGGACCAGGCGTCCTGTAAGTGGCAATGCTCTCATCCTTTCATGGACCAGATAATGTGACTTCCCCTGCCTCCCCCATCACACTGGTACCCAGGGTGGGTGTCACTTACCCCCAATGAGCTAAAACAACTAAGTGTGTGTTAGACTTTCTGAAACACTGAGGACAAGTGTTGTACATGTTAATCTCTTTGCCAAATACCAAATACAATGCCTGATGCTGGAAGATGCCACATAAACATTGAATGAATGAATGAATGGATGGATTCCCTTATATGTATGGCCTTTGCTCAAATGCTACAGCAAAGTTCTGCAATTGCTACAGTTGGAGACTGGGAGGTGACTACCCTCCTATGACGAGTTTTTCTCTTCAAGAAATAGCTGAGCGTTGAGGTGCCAAGGCTTCCATGATACCCTCATGTGAAGCTGTTTTGCTATGAGACAGTTTGGTCCAAACTGTGGGAATTCAGGGGAGGGAGAGAGCAAGGTTGGGGTGGAGCTTAAGGGAGGGCTTATATTCCAGGCAGAGGGAATTACTGTCTCCAAGGCATTGTCTTTCCAAAAAGTGTTCCCTCCAAGATATAATGATCTGCACTCTCTCTAAACCCAGTTAGCTTGTATCCATTTGCACTGGAGTTACTTTTTCTGACATGTCAGGCATGAAAAGCCACATGTAAGACAAATTGTGTTAGGACAAATGTTAATCTTCAAATTGGCCTTTTTCCAGCACCAATTGGCCACTTGTCCTTCCCTGTTGGTGCCAACCACAGTTCTTTACTTGAGCATCTGGTCAAGTAATTGACTTGCAGTTGGTGCCAACCTATATGATTTGTTCTTACCTCTGAACAAGGGAGAGGCACGTGGACATGAGACCTCACCAGGAAACAGCAGATTGCCATCTTCCTTCTTGCAGATTCTCTTGGAAGTATGGGATCACCTGCTTTGGGCTGAAACAAATTATTTAAAATTCTGATACTGGGTGTTTTGGTTTTTTCTTTTTAAACCTTTCTAGGTGAAAATGAATTACTTAAATTTTCTTACATTCGGACATCTTACGACAAGATCTTGCTGAAATGGGAGCCGTATTGGCCTCCTGACTTCCGAGACCTCCTGGGGTTCATGCTGTTCTACAAAGAGGCGTAAGTAGAAAGATAAAGAGGTGTGTGTGTTACATTTGTGCTCAGAGGTTCCCCCACTGAGGTTCCTTTCTATCTCCTTCTTATCTGTGAAATAAATATCACAGATCCCTTGGTGGGATCTCACCAGTTGATGGTGTATAACGTCAATCATTTCTTATTGTTGAAAGCCAGAAATTGAAGCAGGCAGGCTTCTTTTGAAGGTCTAGATTGGGCAATCTCCTATAGAAATATCCCATTTTGCACCTCGTATGTACATCTCACCAGACATTCTCAACAAAAAGTGATTGAGTCTACTTAGGAGGTGTCTTTTTAAAAAGTCTACTTAGTATGTGTCTTAGCAGGTATTTCTATTTAGTAGGTATCTACTTAGTAGGTGTCTTTTTTTTAAAAAGTTTATTTTTAAATCTATTTTGGATTTTTTCCAACACAAATAATTATGGTAAAACAAACATGAAATTGATCATCTTAGTAATGTTTAAATGTACAGCTCAGTGGCATTAAGTATATTCATGATGTTCTGTGACCATCATCAGTGTCCCTCCCCACAATTTATTCATCATCTTATGCTGAAACACTGTCGTCATTCAATGACACCTAGTCACCTTGAGTATATGACTGTGCTGGAGTTTTAAAAGGAGACAGTGGAAGTGGTGATCATATTAACATGGATAATTGTTCCATCCCTTATGATTTACTATGTGTCAGGCTGTGTGTGGAGGAGTCAGCCCACATCCTCTCATGTGATCTTATCAATAACTCAGATAGTATCATCATCGTGATCACTATTATTATTATTATTACTGGGAAATTGAGACATAGAGGAAGGGATCCCTTTCTCTTTGACTGTTTCTGTGTCCTTTCTCCTTGTGGCAGAAGACTGTTGGTGAGCAGGGTGCAAGCCTGTAGGAGGTAACTTTCCCCAGCCACATCTCTCTGGTCTTTAGAGCTACAGTCAAGGAGTGGTAACCATCTTTACCTGTTTGGTCTTGACAGCCCTTACCAGAACGTGACAGAATTCGATGGGCAGGATGCGTGCGGCTCCAATAGCTGGACAGTTGTGGATATTGACCCGCCTACGAGGTCCAACGACCCCAAGTCACAGAACCACCCTGGGTGGCTGATGCGTGGTCTCAAGCCCTGGACCCAGTATGCCATCTTTGTCAAGACCCTGGTCACTTTTTCTGATGAACGCCGTACATACGGGGCCAAGAGTGACATCATCTATGTCCAGACAGATGCCACTAGTAAGCATTTCTTGTGAATGTGAACTTATGCGTGAACTCAGACATCTTGACTTTCATATGAAATGCTTGTGTCATTTTTTTTTTTTTCCCCTGCATGGTCATTGGTTTCTAAAAGAGCCAGGCATTGAGATTTACAATTTCAGAAGATGAGGCAGTAGCAGCAAGACATCAGAGAGGAACATATATTTCTTCTTACCATTATGGAAAATTTTCAAATATTTACAAAAGTAGGAAAAAAATAGCCCCCCTCCCTATGTAATCATCTCTTAGCTTCAATAATTATCAATATTTTGCCATTTTTTGTTTCATCTCTGTTTCTTTCCTCTTCTCCATTTTTTTGAAATTAAAATTTTTAATTGCAGGATAATTGTTTTACAGTGTTGGTTTCTGCCATACATCAAATGAGTCAGCCGTAGGTATACATATGTCCCCTCCCTCTTGGTCTTCCCTCCTACCTCCCACCCCATCCCATCACCTAGGTTGTCACAGAGCACCAATTTGAGCTCCCTGAGACTTACAGCGTAAGTCTTTACATATGGTAGTGTACATATTTCCATGCTACTCTTGCGAATCATCCTACCCTCCCCTTCTCTCCCTGGGTCCACAAGTCTGTTCCCTATGTCTGCATCTCCACTGCTGCCCTGCAAATAGGTTCATCAGTACCGTCTTTCTAGATTCCATATATATGCATTAATTATGATATGTTTTCTCTTTCTGATTCACTTCACTCTATGTAATAGGCTCTAGGGTTTTTTTTGTTTGTTTTTTTGTTTGTTTGTTTGTTTTGATGTGGACCATTTTTAAAGTCTTTATTGAATTTGTTAGAATATTGCTTTGGCTTTATGTTTTGGTTTTTTGGCCACAAGGCATGTGGCATCTTAGCTCCCTGACCAGGGGTCAAACTGCACCTCCTGCATTGCAAGACAAAGCTCTAACCACTGGACCACCAGGGAAATCTCCCACATCTCCATTTCTTTGGGAGGAGTGGGCCACTGGAGTATTTTCTAGAGGGTGGGACCAGGGATGCTGCTCAATATACAACAATGCACAGCACAGTACCCACGGCAAAGAATTATCCAGCCTCACAAAATTAGTAGAGAGAAATCCCATCCTATAGGACAGAGCCCAGGCTTTATGAACCAGCTCTTGTGACTACTGCCTTCTTGTCCTGTATCCTCCAGCAAAACCAAAGGACTTAGAGTTCCGAAAACTTGCAGCTTCCAGGCTTTTGTACACACTGTGTCTTCTGTCTGGAGACTCCCACCCCTACCCCTTGCTGACTCTCAGCCACCTCCATTCTCCAGGGGAAGCTTTTGTGGAGCCCAAAGTTGATGCCTTTGGGGGGATGTGAAATGGACTGCCAGCTCAGTGATAGGTTTGAACGGCATCCCACTGCCAAAATCTGCCCCATAACTGGGTTCAGTTTGGGGCTAATGTTAACTGGAAAATGTGACTTTATCTATTCCCACCACCCTCCTTTTCCCCACCACCTTTCCAGTGCCTGGAAAAAAGAAAGCTTGCCTTTCCCTAGAGCTGTGTAAATGTTTGTGGCAAAAATGGTGGAACATGGAAATCTATATAGTCTGCGGTACTGCATGGACTGTAATTTTGTAACCCATGCTCTTATTAGGCAAGTGTTCCATATGTCCAGATGTCTCCAGTTTTCTCTAATGTTAAATAACACTGCAGAGAACATCCTCAGGATTTCTTTAACTTGGCTATTCCCTCTCATGCCCACCTGACCGCTTGCACCCTCACCCTCACGGTGGATCTGTCTGTCTCATTTCTCCTTGGCAGATCCTTCCGTCCCCCTGGATCCCATCTCAGTTTCTAACTCCTCATCCCAGATTATTCTGAAGTGGAAGCCTCCCTCCGACCCCAACGGCAATATCACACACTACTTGGTGTTCTGGGAGAGGCAGGCGGAAGACAGTGAGCTGTATGAACTGGATTATTGCCTCAAAGGTGAGTGCAGACAGGGGTCAGGGAGGGGCTGGTTTTCCACACCAGATCCACTACGTTCTTGTTTTCTGGGACACATCTCTCCCCTCCCATTTCCAGCATGTGTTTGTGGGAACACACTCTCCATTTTATCTCAGACGAAAACTACACACACAGGCATTCTTCAGAGATACCGAGGGTTCAGTTCCAGACTCCGGAAATGAAGCAAACATTGCAGTAAATCAAGTCACATGAATTTTTTGGTTTCCAGTGCCTATAAAAGTTATATTCACATTATACTATAGTCTATTAAGTGTACAATAGCTTTATGTTTAAGAAAAAATATGCTTGAAATATACGTGTGCATGCGTGCTAAGTCACTTCAGTCGTATCGGACTCTTTGCTACCCCAAATAGATAATCAGTAAGAACCTACTGTATAGCGCAGGGAACTCTACTCAATATCTTATAATAATCTATAGTGGAAAATAATATGAAAAAGGATATATGTATATATGACAGTTACTTTGCTGTACATCTGAAACTAACACAACATTATAAATCAATTCGATTTCAATCAAAATTTTAAAAAGAAGAAATCTAGACTAAAAAAAAAAGTGCAATACCTTAATTAAAGAATACTTTATTGCTTTAAAAAATGCCCAAATGATTACAAAAATAACATCTAAGATCACTGATCAGGGATCATCATAACAAGTAGAACAAAAATGAAGAAGTTTGATATATTGTGAAAATTACTGAAGCATGACATAGAGATACAAAGTGATCAAATGCTGCTGGGAAACCAGTGCTAATATTTTTGCTGGACATGGGGTTCCCACAAACCTTCGATTTGTAAAAAAACACAGTAAGAGGAGGTCTGTCTGACTTTTCACATTTCTAAACATCACAGGGTGCGGACAAGCTCTGAAGACTCGTGTTGAAACCAGACACTCCCCATGTCTTGGCATCACTGCATTCTGGAATTTTCTCCTCTTCCCCTTGCTTGTCCACCTCCCCTTGGTGGGGATGTAGCTGTGTTAACCCATGCAAGACTTCCCTGCTAAGCTAGAAACACAACTAATGTGTGGAGTGGTGATTGACAAAGTCAGGGAAGAATTTTGGTCCCTTATTTTTAAAAATTTTTATTAGAGTATAGTTTACAGTGTTTTATTAGTTTCAGGTGTACAGAAAAGTGAATCAGTTATACATAAATTGACTTTTTTGGTCTCTAATTTTATTTTTATTTTTTACTTTTAATTTTTTTTGGCCATATGGCATTTGGGATCTTAACTCCCTGACTAGGGGTCAAATCAACCCCACCCTGCGTTGGAAAGGCCCTAACTGCCGGACCTCCAAGGAAGACCTGGTCCCTAATTTTAGACCCTTAAGTTTTAAGGATTGGAGACAGCAAAGAGTCTCCAATCTCTTCCTCCCTAGGCTTTCCATTAAAAACATATATGAATGACATGTATTTTCCAGTCTTTAATCTCATTTACTTAATGGGCTTGCATCCATCTACAGAAAAAGGAAAAAAATATTTGAAGCCTCAAACTGGTGTGTATAAGTTAATCTCACATTATTTTAAAACTGGGTTGTAAGAAAGTCCATCAAACTGAAGAAACAGAAGTCTTTTTCCCCCTCTTTAGTTGTTTTGTTTGAGTCTATATAAATGGTTTTCCCCCCAATCCCTAGACTGTTTTATTATTTATTTTTAAAAAATTATTGGAGTATGGTGGCACTAGTGCTAAAGAATCCACCTGCCAATGCAGGAGACACAAGAGATGGGGACTTGATCCCTGGGTTGGGAAGATCCTCTGGAATAAGAAATGGCAACCCACTTCAGTGTTCTTGCCGGGAAAGATCCCATGGACAGAGGAAACTAGTGGGAGGTCCATGGAGTCGCAAAGAGTCAGACACGACTGAGTGTTAAAAAAACAGTTGACTTACAATTTAGTATTAGTTTTGGGTGTACAGCAAAGTGGTTCAGTTATACACATGCATAGATTCATTCTTTTCAAAAAATATTTATTTATTTGGCTGCACCGGGTCTTCATTGCAACATGTGGGATCTAGTTCCCTGACCAGTACTCAAATCCAGCCCTCCTGCACTGCGAGCTCAGAGTCTTAGCCACTGGACCACCAAGGAAGTCCCTAGATTGATTCTTTTTCAGATTAATTTCTCATGTAGGTTATTACAGATTATTGAGTAGAGTTTCCTGTGCTAGGCAGTAGGTCCTGGTTGGTTATCTCTCTTATGTATAATCGTGTGTGTATGTTCACCCCAAGCTCCTGATTTATCCTTTAGTTGTTTTGTTGTTGTTTGTTGCTTTGATGTTGTTCAGTCGCTAAGTCATGTCCGACTCTTTGTGACCCCACAGACTGCAGCACGCCAGGCTTCCCTGTCCTTCACTCTCTCCCGGATTTTGCTCAAATTCATGTCCATTGAGTCAGTGGTGCCATCCAGCCAATCTCATCCTCTGTCACCCCTTTCTCCTCCTGCTCTCAATCTTTTCCAGCATCAGGGTCTTTTCCAATGAGTTGTCTCTTCACATCAGGTGGCCAAGGTATTGGAACTTCAGCTTCAGCATCAGTCCTTCCAGTGAACATTCAGGGTTGATCTCCTTAAGAATTAACTGGTTTGATCTCCTTGCAGTCCAAGGGACTCTCAAGAGGCTTCTCCAGCACCACAATTCGAAAGCATCAATTCTTCGGTGCTCAGCCTTCTTTATAGCCCAACTCTCACATCCATACATCACTATTGGAAAAACCGTAGCTTTGACTAGATGGAACTTTGTTGTCAAAGTGATGTCTCTGCTTTCTGGTCTGAGTTTATTTTCCTTTAGATGTTGTGAGTTACTGGTATCCTCCTACCTTGGAACAGCTGATGACATGTGATTGAGGTCGGGAAACTAAGGTTTTCTCTGCCCTGATGTAGGGCTTTGGGCAAGTCACCCAGCTTGTCACTGGCTGCCTCCTTTTGGGGAAAAGGGGCAGGAGGCCAGATGATCTCCGGGAGCTGTCCCAGCTCTAAGATCATGTGCTATATGTATGCCTGTGACCTCATCCCCCGCCTGAGCAGAGGGTTGCAAACGTGATTTATCTCCTCGGATGCTTTATATAACTCGAGAGCAAGCAAAGTCATGGGCTCAGCTGTGCACTCTTGGCCCTGCATTCGAGTAACTGAAACCACCAACTAGAACTGCCACCATCATCGGGGCAGGCAATGTTTTCTTTCTTTCTTTCTTTTTTTTTTTAAAGCAACAACTTTTCTTCTGGAAGTCAGTCTGTCATTAGAAGGTGATGATTTGACATGATTTTATTTGTCATGATGCCCAAAGTTTATGGAACATGATTTTATTTGTCATGATGCCCAAAGTTTATGGAATTAAAAAAAATAAACTTACTAAGGACAGATATTGTCTGATTCCACTTATAGGAGGTCCCTGGAGGAGTCAGATCTATAGAGACAGGAAGCAGATGGTGGGGGCCAGGGGTGGGGCAGGAGATGGAGAGTCAGTTTCATGGGCACAGAGTTTCAGTTTGGGAAGATGAGAAAGTTCTCCAGATGGATGGTGGGGATGGTTGCACAATAATGTAAATATACTTAATGACACTGAATCACAATGCTTAAAAATGAGTAAAACGGTGAATTTTTTGTTATGTGTATTTTGCCACAAAGAAAAAACCCCAGTACACACACAAATAAATAAACTTGATAACACACACGAGACAAATAATTTACTAACTGTGATCAGTAGTAGTTTCCTTTAGAATCAGAAGTGGGTTTTTTTTTTTTTCAGTTTTATTGAGATATAATTGACAAGTAAAATTGTAAGACATTTCAAATGTAAATTGTGATGACTTTTTGTGCATACACATTGGAAAAGAATTCCTCCCACCTAGTTAATATATCTATCACTTCACATATTTATTATTGTTTTTAAAGAAATCTTTGTTTATTTACTTAGTTTTGGCTGTGCTGGGTCTTCATTGCTACTTAAAGGCTTCTCTCTAGTTGTGGCCAATGGGGGCTACTCTTCTTTGCGGTGCTTCTTATGGCGGTGGTTTCACTTGTTGCAGAGCACCGGCTCCAGAGTGTAGCCTCAGTAGTTGGGGTGCACGGGCTTGGTTGCCCCGTGGCACGTGGAATCTTCCTGGACCAGAGATCAAACCTGCATGTACTGCAATGGCAGGCAGATTCTTTACCACTGATCCACCAGAGAAGTCCCCTCCTTTTTTTATTGAGAACTTTTAGCTTCTACTCTGATGTTGAATTGTATATTTCAACTATACAGTACAGTCTTATCAACTATATGGTTTTTTAATTGTAAAACTTTCGTAACATAAAATTGACCATTTGAACCACTTTTAAGTGCACAGCTCAGAGGCATTAAGCACATTCACATTGTCGTGCAACCCTCGCCACCATCATCTCCAGAACGTTCTCATCTCCCCAAACGGAAACTCTGTCCCTGTGAAACACTGACTCCCCCACTCCCCACCTTCCCACTTTGTCCCTGTGGACTTGACTAGATGTGTCACTGTACCTTACAGTCACAGAAACCCACAGGGCACCAAGTGGCATGCGGAAAGGGTGACACGTGTCAGGAGCCCTGTCTGTGTCTGATCAAAAGTCCCTTCCTCCCCAGGAAAAAATCAGGAGCCCGCCCCCACCACCCTTTACTAAGGAAATCCTAAGTTTATTTTCTGTCTATAATGCCATTGATAACTCTTCTAACAGCTAAAACCTACATAGGCTATTCTGTGTCTATTAATAAACGTTAAGAAGTATGTTTAAGGGTTTGCAAAGCTTCCGAGTGGGTATTCAGCATTCACAGGAAGATACTTAGAGCTCATTGTCTCCCGGAGCCATTAAAAGGGAGAGGAAGAGGTGGAATTTCCCTTGCTCAATAGACACAAGTAGGCACCCAGTATCAAGGGCATGGTTTTAAGCCTTTAAAGAGTAGCCTGCATCTTCTATGGGCTTCCCAGCTGGCTCAGCAGTAAAGAAGCCGCCTGCCAGTGCTGGACACGGAAGATCCCCTGAGGGAGGCAATGGCGACCCGCTTCAGTATTCTTGCCTGGGAAATCCCTTGGGGAGAGGAGCCAGTCGGGCTACAGTCCATGGCATCACAGAGTCGGGCTAGACTGAGTGAGCACACACACAAGACGTGTGCATGGATCATTCTTTTACTTGGGGACTGCTTAGCATCACTTTCTCTGAGACATTCGCCCCAGAGACCCTCTGTCCTTTTCCCCTGCCATCTGACACACAGCATATGCATTTCTTAGCTTACTGTATATTCCTCCCACTCCCATGCACCTCATCGGCTGGAATGTTAAGTTCCCCAAGGGCAGGGACATGCACAGTTACCTTTCGCCTCCAGCCTTGTGGGGTTGTGGTGTCCGACCGTGTCCTGCTGCATGCTGACGGGCACCTTCTGTTGTCAGGATCTCTGCACTGAGCTCTGTCCATGTGCCCAGCCACTTTGAGAAGGTCACCCTTGCTCTGCGTGTGTGTGCAGGTGGTGGGGGGCAGGAACAGGATGGGGTCTTGAGCTCTGCTCTGCCTTTCCCTAGGGTTGAAGCTGCCCTCCCGGACCTGGTCTCCACCGTTCGAGGCGGAGGGGTCCCAGAAGCACAACCAGAGTGAGTATGAGGAATCTGCTGGCGAATGCTGCTCCTGCCCGAAGACCGACTCTCAGATCCTCAAGGAACTGGAGGAGTCCTCGTTCAGGAAAACGTTTGAAGATTACCTGCACAACGTGGTTTTCATCCCCAGGTCAGGATCTGTTACTGGCTTGGGGTCTCAGGTCTTTAGGGAACAAGACAAAATGGGGGCAGACCCAGAGGATAGGCAGAGTCCACGCTGAGCCACTTCCCTGAGATTTTGAGATTATAACAAGTGCCTTACCAGGAAGAGGAATTGCCCCCTCTCCCCGCTCAAAAGGAGAAGTGTTTAAAAAACTCAGCCTTTGCTCCCTGATATCTCATGAACCCAACCTCTGGTCTCAGTCTGAGTTCTGATGAATTCCATTAGATTATCGTTGACTATTACCTAATCAATTGATTATAGATAATAAATTCAGTTGTTAGATTAGATGACAGAGAGCTGCATGCCCAGCCCAATGCTTGATTTATGGCTGAGTCTCAAGTTCAGCGCATTCCCTTTTTTTAATCTAAGGAAACTTCTCATCCTTCCAGAACTTTCCATGGCCTCGTCAAAACCCCAAAGTCTTCACTGTTTAAACATGTTTCCTTTAGTGAGTGAAGGGGAAGTAAACAGAGGGTCTGCAGTAAAAATGACTCTTGGTTTTTTCATACCTCTTTATCCCTCCTGCAAGCTGAGACACTTAGTTCTGTAGAAGGCAAGTTTCTGTGGGTCACAGGTTGTTCTACCTCTCTCGGTGCCTCAGTTTATTCACCTGAGGAATGGAGAGAAAAGTGGTTCCTGTATTTTACGGCTGTGAGATTACACTAGTCTCACAGGGATTCTCAGCCTTGCTGCTGTTGACATGTGGAGCCAGCTCATTCTCTGAGGTGGGACCATCCTGCTCAGGGTAGGATGTTGAGGTGCATCCCGGGCCTCCAGCCAGTAGATGGCAGTAGCACTGTCTGCATCATGAGTCTTTCTGCTAACCCACTGAAGCACTTGCCAACTGCCTTTTATGGGTCCAAAGCCTTTCCCCCCGCCACTAACTCTGCCCAGGTTTACAAAGCAAATGTGCTGGGAGCTTTCAATTGCCCCCACCCGCTCCACTCTTGACCCTTCCCCCTAACAGACTTCACCAGATGGCTACGCAGAAGTGTCCAATACATTTCCAAGTCGTTTCCAAAGTGGATCAACCTCCTGCCCTCAAAGGTTGCACTGAGATAAGACAAGATTGGAAAGTGGGTCTCTTCAGAGGCTCAGCATTGCTCCTGCTAGAGACTTCATTAGAACTGTCAATATATAACATTTCTTTTCTCTTTCTTGCATTCTTATCTGACCCTGAGTCCAAAAGAACACTGAATGGCACAGCCCAGGTGTGGAGGCAGTTATTGTTTCACCCAATAAAACTCCACTAGACTCAAGCTTAGTGGCCGAGTCAGTCATGAGGTTTAAAACTAGTCTGGACTTCCCCGGTGGCTCAGTGATTAAGAAAGACTCTTTGCTTCCAATACAGGGGACACGAGTTCAATCCCTGGTCGGGGAAGATCCCACGTGCTGCATGCTTATGTGCTCAGGCACTCAGTCGTGTCCAACTCTGTGATTGTAGCCCACCAGGCTCCTCTGTCCAGGGGATTCTCCAGGCTAGGATCCTGGAGTGGGTTGCCGTGCCCTCCTCCAGGGGATCTTTCTCACCCAGGGATAGAACCTGTATCTCCTGCACTGCGGATGGATTCTTTACCACTGAGCCACAGGGGAAGCCATGGCATGACCCAAAAGAAAAAAGTAGTGTTATGTTTGACATCTCATGGGAACCCCAGATGACCAGGTCTCGGGGGGTGTTTTCTTGATTCCCTCCTCCCAACTGCTTGCCGTGCCCTACACACCTGCTGGGGAAGATGTGGTTCAAGTGATGGAAACAAGTGACCTGTGGTCTGGGGCAAGCGCCCTCGGGCTGCTGGCACAGGCTGTCAGAAGCAAGAGGTCTGTCTGAAGAAGTTCTGTCTGTCCTCAAAGCGGCTGGTTTTGTTTTCACAGAAAATCATCTTCAGGCCCTGTTGCCGAGGACGCTAGGTACGACTCACCTGTGGGACGTCCGCGTGGCCCCTGGTGGCTGCACAGTGCAGGGCCAGTGGGCCCGCGGGGCAGGAAGCATGTTGAGCCCCTTTGAGATCCCCGGGGGCCTTCTGTGGTTTGATGCATGCATCGCGCTGTTCTGCCGAGAGGGGGCGCTTCACAAATTCACACGTTAAACACCTTCACCCTGAAATGGAATCTGGGCATGATTGGGGCGTGGGGGGGCGGGGGGTGGGGAAGGGGGAGAAATATCCTAACTAACACACTCTTACTAAAACATAGAGTCGAGGGTGTACTTCCTAGGGGGTTTCCAAGATGCTGCCCATTTTTCCTCCATGCCGCGACACATTTATTTATCAAGCCTGCCATTTGTGCAGAACTGTGCTGGGCTCCCAGTCAGTCGAAACCAGTTAGCGGCAGGTCGTGGGGAAAGCTGATCCGGGAGAGGAACATTTTTATCTGGGGTGACTAGTGCGGGATGACGAGCAGGCCTGAGCACAGATGTGTTATGTCCCTGTATTCCGCTGAGGACAGTCAGGGATGCTCCACTTTGACGTGTGTCTTAGAGAGTCAACTATGTTTCAATGTGAGGAAACTCTGCTGGCTCAGCTGGTAAAGAATCCGCCTGCAATGCAGAAGACCCCGGCTTGATTACTGGGTCGGGAACATTCCGCTGGAGAAGGGGTAGGCTACCCACTTCAGGATTTATGGGCTTCCCTGGTAGCTCAGACGGTAAAGAATCCGCCTACGGTGCGGGATACCTGGGTTCGACCCCTGAGTTGAGAAGATCCCCTGGAAAAGGGAATGGCTACCCACTCCAGTATTCTTGCCTGGAGAATCCCATGGACAGAGGAGCCTGGTGGGCCACAGTTCATGGAGTTGGAAAGAGTCAGACACGACTGAGCAACTAATTAGAGCACGTCTCAATTTTTAAAAAAAGAGAGAGAAGGATTGAAGGATGAGGGGGTGTCCTGGAGGAGAGGACAGGCAGAGAGAACGTGGCGAAAGGGAAGTCGGTGGAAAGAATCCTGGACTCTTGGGAAGAACAGGAGGGGAGACTGGAAAGGCAGGGTAAGAGCTATGAAGAATGATTTTATTCTTCCAAGGGAGGGTTTATTTATTTTCAGGCAATGTTTGACCCCAGTCTGCCCTCTAGTGGCCATTTTGAATATAATCTGTAGTAAAGGAAGATCTGGGCTTCCCTGATAGCTCAGACGGTAAAGAATCTGCCTGTGATGCAGGAGACCCAGGTTCGATCCCTGGGTGGGGAAGATCCCTTGGAGCGAGAAATGGCAACCCACTCCAGTATTCCTGATTGGAAAATCCCGTGGGCAGAGGAGCCTGGCAGGTCACAGTTGATGGAGTTGCAAAGAGTCAGACACGACTGTAGCACAATGGCTCAGTGGCTAAAGAATCCACCCACAATGCGGGAGACAGGAGGTGAGGGTTCCATTCCTAGGAGGGGAAGATCACCTGGAGGAGGAAATAGCAACCCACTCCGGTATTCTTGCTTGGAAAATCCCACAGACTGGAGCCTGGAGGGCTGAAATTCCAATGGGTCTGAAGAATCAGACACGCCTGAGCATTCAAGGCACACATCCGCACACATCCACACACACCCACACAAAGATCTAGAAGTCTGAGACCTTGATCCAATCGTGGGGGTTTTCTGTGACCACGTGGTGGTCTTGTCCTATTGGATATAATCCTTTTGGTGTATGCATATTTGGCCTGTTAGAGGCCATTTATGTTTCTTTTTTATTAGATAATCAATTTTTCAGTAATTATTCATGAGACCCCAGGGTCTCCATCATTTCTGGAAAGCTCATCTGTGCTTGTATAGAAATGTTTTGAATCTTGCTAGCATGGGTGTATCTTTGGCTTACTAGTTTTGGTTTCCATTCAGGAATGTCAATGGTCTTTTCAGACAAAAGGACCACAAAGAAAATCTTAGTGAGTACCCCCAAAGTAAGGTTTGTTTTTGCTGATGACAACGCAACAAAAATTAAAGGTAAACTTCAAGAGCTCGAACAGAAAACTCTACTTCCTGGTGATTAAAAGTGGATCACTTAGATTTCTAAGTGAAAGTGGGTGGAAGTTGAAATGGAAATTTTCATTCAAATCCATTTGGAGGGACTTCCTTGGTGGTCCAGTGGTTAAGATTCCATGCTTCCAGTGCAGGGAGGCCTGGGTTTGATCCCTGATCTCAGAGCTAGGATCCCATGCATGCTGCATGGTGCAGCCAAAAAAGAAAAGATTTGTTTGGAAAATATCAGAGACATGACCATCATATACCTTCACTTATAGAATATTGCCAAACCTGGACTTTGTTGTAAATTAGTAGACCTAAATGATTTTTTTAATTAAAAAAAACTATAAAATTTAAAATATAATGTGTTAGGGAGGGAGGGAAAATTAATATAGCTAAATTTGTGGTAAATTCTCTGGATAACCATGAGCTTTCCAATTTGAAAGTTTCAGAGAGGTGAAAATTTTAACTTGTCTAAGCTAATTCAGGAAGCAGCAGAAATATTAACCAGCCTAATGACCTTGGGAAAATACTGAAAAAAAAAAGTGTCAATGAATTTCTTCACAAAAAGGCCCCAGGTTTGGAGAGTTTTCTACATGCGTTCTTTCACACTCTCAAAGAGAAACTAGTTTCAGAAATTTTTCCAGAGCATACAAATATATGGAAATCTTCCCAATTCATTTTGTAAAACAACATCCCTAAGCAGAACCTGATGAAGATTCTACACTGAAAGAAAACCCCAGGACCAACTAATATGGGAGTTTAGATCCAAATGTCCTAAACAAAGCACTCTGCTTGCAATACCATCAATCTCATAAGTGCAAGGATGGCTCAAGATCAGGTGTTGATAGTAGAATCTAATTCATCAAGAGATTCAATATGGAAAGTCATAATAATCTCATTAAATAACATTTATTAAAAATTATGGGGGGGGGGTTGGTGTTCCCTGGGTGTCCAGTGGTTAAGATCCTGTGCTTCCACTGCAGGTGATGTAGATTCAACCCCTGGCTGGGGAACTAAGATTTTTTAAATTACTAACCTAAAGAAGCTGGAATCAAGATTGCTGGGAGAAATATCAATAACCTCAGATATGCAGATGACACCACCCTTATGGCAGAAAGTGAAGAAGAACTAAAGAGCCTCTTGATGAAAGTGAAAGAGGAGAGAAAAAATTGGCTTAAAACTCAACATTCAGAAAACTAAGATCATGGCATCTGGTCCCATCACTTCATGGCAAATAGATGGGAAAACAATGGAAACATGAGAGACTTTATTTTGGGGGGGCTCCAAAATCACTGCAGATGATGACTGCAGCCATGAAATTAAAAGATGCTTTCTCCTTAGAAGAAAAGCTATAACCAACCTAGACAGCATATTAAAAAGCAGAGACATTACTTTGCCAACAGAGGTCCGTCTAGTCAAGGCTATGGTTTTTCCAGTAGTCATGTATGGACGTGAGAGTTGGACCATAAAGAAAGCTTAGCACTGAAGAATTGATGCTTTTGAACTGTGGTGTTGGAGAAGACTCTTGAGAGTCCCTTGGACTGCAGGAGATCCAACCAGTCAATCCTAAAGGAAGTCAACCCTGACTATTCATTGGAAGCACTGATGCTAAAGCTGAAGCTCCAATACTTTGGCCACCTGTTGCAAAGAGTTGACTCATTGAAAAGACCCTGATGCTGGGAAAGATTGAAGGTGGTAGGAGAAGGGGACGACAGAGGATGAGATGGTTGGATGGTATCACTGACTATTGAGTTTGAGTAAACTCCAGGAGTTGGTGATGGACAGGAAAGCCTGGCGTGCTGCAGTCCATGGGGTCTCAAAGAGCCAGACGTGACTGAGTGACTCAACTGAACTGAACTTAAAGAAAGGCAGTGGGGGAGAGGCCTTTTAAAAAGCTAGGACTAGAAAACTTCAGCAACAAGATAAATATTATTTAGATGAAACCAACATCCAAAGTAACATCTTTCTTAAAACTATTCCTGTTTACTTTGGAAGGAAGCCAATCTCATCATAACTAACAATTGTCTGGGTATCTAGCCAATGCAGTAATGGCAGACATGAGAATTGGAATGGATTGTGGGAAACAAAAGCATTGACATTTTCAGGTATTCTTATTCAAGAGTAGACAGACTGCCTGTTTTTGTCAACAAGTTTTATTGGAATGTAGCCATGCCCACTTGTTTACATCATGTCTCTGGCTACTTTCAAGCTGCCATGGCTTAAAAGCCATTGCAAGTTGAACAGCTGTGACAAAAAACACACGTCTGGCAAAACCCCAAATATTTACTATCTAGCATTTATGTGACAAGTTTACTGACCCTTTATCCAAGAGTATTCCTTGAAAACCTAAGAAAATAAACACTGAAACTCTTAGAATGAGTTTCAGAAAGTAGGTACAATATAAATAAACAAATAGACAAGATATATCTGTGTGCTAAGCTGCTTCAGTTGTGTCTAACTCTTTGGGACCCTATGGACTGTAGCCTGCCAATCCCCTCTGTCCATGGGATTCTCCAGGCAAGAATACTGGGGCCGGTTGCCGTGCCCTCCTCTGAGGGATCGAACCCACGTCTCATCTCCTGCATTGGCAGGCAGGTTTTTTACCACCATTGCCACCTGGGAAGCCCCTTTATGGGTGAGACCACAAGTCAGTTTAAAGGATCTGGAGGGTAGCAATTTAGCCATAGGTATGAAGAGGCATAATCTAACAATTTCTTAGAAACTACTTTTAGGAACTGATGAGACACATGGACAATGATCACAGTAATATTTATAATAGCAAAAAAAATGGGGAATATGCTTATATTTTAAAAATTGTAGGATGACTAAGTAAAGTATGGTTCTTGCATTAAATGGAATATTCTACAGGTTTCCAAGTTTTCTGCAATGAGCATGTGGCACTTTCATAACAAGGAGGGAATATCTTCATGTTGAAGAAGAAAAAAAAAGTAAATTCCTTCCTACTTGAGACATTATGTTTTCAGGAAAATATTTGAGATTGCTTCTAATACAAGTGAGCCAAGTGGATTATAGAACTAGCTTGATCCTCCCATTATACCCATATGTAACATTCACAGAAAAAATAATTGCCAAAGGACAAAGCAGTCAGTGGAATGCTGAGGAATTCAAATTTTCTTTATACCTTTCTTTTTGGATTTATAATTTTTTAGGCTATTAACATTTTTCTTCATCTTTTAAAGGGGAGAAAGTGTGCCAATCACATAGGCAATTTTGGGAGTTACCCTTAGCAACCTGAGTGTTAAGATTTTTTTTTTTTACCAAGGATTGAAGTTGAATCACTTAGATTATGCCATTGTCCTAAAGGGTCCTAAGAATAAGATGTATTTCTCCTGGTTAAACTGGTGATGGTGTCAAGTATCTTGAACCATTTGGCAGGGTTAGACTCATACACTTTTGGCATCTCATTTTTGACACTGACTCTGGCTGGACTGTTCATCTGCAAAATGAAATCTGAAATTAAGCATGTTGAGGGGAATATTGGTGTGTCTACTATGGGTGGTCCCATAGCCTCCCCACTACTCTCTTGGGGTGGGCTTGCCTGACATGATGCCTAGGAGGGCATCTTCTTTAAAAATGACTCTGGGTTATAATTCCTGGAAATTTACATTGTAATCTACACGCTCCTCCCCTTGAATCTCACTGCATTTCAGTCTTTGGTTTTAAGCCTTTTGTTCTCCAGCAGCATTTTTTCAAAGATGGTGATTGTATGACCAGGTGTGTCCCCCTGTCATGACAGGCCGTCAAGGAAACGCAGAGCCCTTGGTGATGTGGGGAATGTGACAGCGGCCGTACCCACCATTCTGGGGTTCCCTAATACCTCCTCCACCAGCACGCCCACGAGCTCGGAGGAGCACAGACCCTTCGAGAAAGTGGTGAACAAGGAGTCGCTGGTCATCTCCGGCCTGCGTCACTTTACTGGCTATCGCATCGAGCTTCAGGCTTGCAACCAAGATTCTCCCGAGGAGAGGTGTAGCGTGGCTGCCTACGTCAGCGCCAGGACCATGCCTGAAGGTAGGTCAACTCATCGCAGAGCCAAGAGACGCAGGCTAACCAAGGAAGCTCTCCACTCTCTAGGCAGCATACTTGAGACTTTATTTGCCTTCATCATTTTTCATTTTCCCCTGAGATGTAGTGGACATAAAACATTGTGTAAATTTCAGGTGTACAATGTGTTGATTTGCTCCACTTATATATTGCAAAATCTTTACCACAATAGCATTAGCTAACATCTCCATCAAGGCACATAATTACCATTTCTTGTTTGTGGTGAGAAGATTTCAGGTCTACTCTCTTAGCGGCTTTCAAGTATAAACCACAGTATTATTGACTTTGTGATTGCCTGCTGGCTCAGACAGTAAAGAGTCTGCCTGCAGTGCAAGAGTCATGGGTTTGATCCCTGGCTTGGGAAGATCCCCTGGAGAAGGGACTGGCAACCCACTCCAGTATTCTTGCCTGGAGAATTCCATGGACAGAGGAGCCTGGTGGGCTACAGTCCATGGGGGTCACATAGGTCACACATAACTGAGCGACACACACATACATTGTTAACTATAATCATCTTTCTTGTTGTTTAGTCGCTAAGTTGTGTCTGACTCTTTTTCAGTATGTGAGTCATAAGAAATATAAAGTGAAATTAAGAAATACGTACATATATAGTATATACTATATATGTATATACTATATGTATATGTATATACTATATGTATATATATATACTATATGTATATATATAGTATATTAGGGTTTTCCAGAGAAACCTAACCAACAGTATGTAAGATAGATCAATAGATACATAAATAGATAGATGGATAGATAGACATAAATATGTAAAGAATTCGATGAGAATGTCCATTCTCCAATAAGGGAAATAGAACACAGGAAAGTTACACAACCAGTTTAAGGTCGCTCACCTGCTCAGTGGTGGAGGTGGGGTTTGATCCAGGGATGGAGTCCCCAACACTAATCACTGCTCCTTACAGCCAAGGCAGACGATATTGTCGGCCCCGTGACCCATGAAATCTTCGAGAACAATGTCGTTCACTTGATGTGGCAGGAGCCCAAGGAACCCAACGGTCTGATTGTGCTGTATGAAGTGAGTTATCGACGATACGGCGAAGAGGTAAGATCCTCGATGCCTGGGGATGTGCCTTCAAGACTGTTATTGGTACCTCCTTCCTTTTCGTAAATTCTGGCCCTCGTGCTTCTCTCATTAGATGCTTTGCTATGAAGACTCAAAGCCTTGATATATGACTTTCCAGGGAGATGGGTCAGGTCCAACATTTTATTGTAGCTAAACTCTCCCCAGGACTATGTGCCCCATGCATGCTAAATGTTTTGTACATGGTATCTCATTTATCCAATTTTACCACATCTAACATGTGATAAGAAGCCCTGTTATTCTCACAGACTGCTCGGAAAGAAAAAGGTGCTGCCCATTCTAACTGTAAGATGCATTCAGATTTCAGAGATGTCAAATGTAGAAATACTGTGTCTCTTGGGATCAATAAAGTACAATAAATCCTCAGAAAACCCAGTGAGCTTAGTACTAACTGAGGCACCCAGAATTGAAATTGCATCCAAGGTTTATAAGAATAGAATCAGGATTTGAACCCAAGGCTATCTGATGTTCTAATCCAGGGGTTGGCAATTCTCTCTGTAAAGGTCCAGACCCAAAACATGTTTGGCTTTGTGGTCAGATGGTGTCTGCAGCTATTCAATTCTGCCTTTGCATTGTGAAAGCCACGTGCAGATAATATGTAAATGAAGGGGGATGGTTGTGTGCCATTAAAACTTTATTTGCAAAAACAGGCAGCAAGCAGGCTGGATTTGCTGGCCCCAGTTCTAAGCTAGTAACCACTATGGGGCAAGTCTCTGTCCTCAGATATGGCTTATTGTCTACGTATGGCTCTGTGGTAAAGAGTCCTCCTGCCAACGCAGAAGACGCGGGAGATGCAGGCGTGATCCCTGGGTCTGGAAGGTTTCCTTGGAGGAGGTAATGGTAACCCACTCCAGGATTCTTGCCTGGAGAATCCCATGGACAGAGGAGTCTGGCAGGCTACAGTCCATGGGGTCGCAAAGAGCCAGACACGACTGAATGGCTAAGCACGCATGCACGCCAGAGAAACACTGCTGAGGCTTGGACTGATCGGGGCCACTTCTCCCATTTACTGGGTGACTTCAGGCGGATGTCAGGTCACCTCCCTGAGTTGACCCAGGGGGTGTACTCTGCCATCAGTTGAGCCCTTTGCAATGATCCGTTTGCACCTCACAATGACCCTACAAGGTAGAACCTGCTGGTGAGTGTCTCCCTTTAAGGCTGAGAGAAGGGAAATTTAGGGAGCCAAATAGACTTTCTCAAGGTTACACATCCAACACTCACACCCAGACCCTTGGACTCTGGCACCTGCCGTCTGCCATTGAGGGTGGTCACGTCGATCGGAGGTAATTTTCTATAAGGGGCCAGAGAGTGAATATTTTCAGCTTTTGGAACCATACAGTCTCTGGGTCAACTGCTTGACGCTGCCATCATAGCTTCAAAGCAGATACAGACAGAATGAAAATGAATGGGCATGGCCGTTTGCCAATAAAACTTTATTTACAAAATCAAGCAGTGAACCAGATTCAGCCTGTGGGCTCTAGTTTGCCAACCACTAACAGAGGTTGTTGGTTTCCCGGTGGCTCAGCAGTAAAGAATCCACCTGCAATGCAGGAGCTGCAGGAGATGTGGATTCGATCCCTGAGTCAGGAAGATCCCCTGGAGGAGGGCATGGCAATCCACTCCAGATTTCTTGCCTGGAGAATCCCATGGATAAAGGAACCTGGTGGGCTACAGTCCATGGGGTCACAACGAGTCAGACACAACTGACTTAGCACGCACGCAACAGAGGTTGGTGGGACAGCTTGGCTTCCCCAAGCCAGAGATGACAAATGGACCTCCATCTGTTGATTCTTCCTGGAACCACATCTCTGGATGCCCAGATACTCAGCTTTGATGATGATTTTGAATTGAGATCAGCAAACTATGATCTACGGGCTGAACTGGCCCCTGGCCTGTTTTTGTATGTCCTGCAGACAGTTGTCAAAAGAAACATTTGTCAAGGAAAAATATGCACCAGTGTGAGTCTAGTGGCTGAGCCCAGAATCAGTGTGGGAGGGGAGCCTTCAGGGGTATATAAAGAGAGGCACAATTCACAGGGAGCTGCTAGTGATTTTAGTGAAATTTAATATCTCATCCCATATATATTAATCCCATTTGTTCTAAAGAAATAGTTCAGATTTGGGTTGGTAGCAAAGCTTTATGCATAAAAATTTCACCACTAGCAAAAAGTGCAAGCCACTAGAAGAAGAATGGATACATAGAAGATGGTGCATACATAAAACTGGTGGATATACAGCCTTTTAAAGTTTTTATGTTGGGGGTGATCATGGTCCAGTATACTGAGGAGACTGAGATTTCCAGCTCTGGATTTTAGATCCTCTAAGCCATTACTCTTCATCTTTCCACCAGCAGCCACGCAAGTAACTTATGACAAAAGGGAAGCTTATTAGCTTCCATAACCAGCTGATGGAGTTCAGGCACAGCTGGATCCAGATTCCTTTGGCTCTTTTGTGTCTCAAGGGTCCTTGCAGTGAGGCCAGTAGCTCCTGGCTGTCCGGTGATTTTAGAGGTTCCAACCCTCATATTCTCTCAGCACCAAGCCTGGAAGAAGAGAGTCTGTGTCCCAGCATTTCCAGCCAGGCTGAGGTCACATGACACCCAGTCATACGACCAGGACAGTGCTGTGTGCTGATTGGCTTAGGCATAAGGGTTTTTAAATAACAGTTTAATTGAGATACATTCACACATGGTAAAATACAACCACTTAACATATTCATGTGAAGAGCTGACTCATTTGAAAAGACCCTGATGCTGGGAAAGATTGAAGGTGGGAGAAGGGGACGACAGAGGATGAGATGGTTGGATGGCATCACCGACTCAATGGACATGAGTTTGAGTGGATTTTGGGAGTTGGTGATGGACAGGGAGGCCTGGTGTGCTGCAGTCCATGGGGTTGCAAAGAGTCGGACACAACTGAGTGACTGAACTGAACTGAACTGAACACATATTAATGCAATGCAGTGATATGTAATATAGTTACAGAGTTGTGCTACCATCACCACAATTCCAGAATATTTTCATCACTTCTCAAAGAAAGCCCACCTCCACCTCCAGCCATTAAAGCCCCAATCTTTTCTACTTCCTTTCCCTCCAGCCCTTGGCAATCACTAATCTGCTTTCTGTCTCTATGGAGACAGGTCTCTGCTACTGTGGCCATCTCATACTCATTTGCCTGAAATTTCCCAGGTTTGAACACTAAATTCCTGCATCCCAATATAACATGGGTTACCCTATTGGCACTGGATCCAACCCTAACTTCTCCCAGCCACCGTCGCTGGCCTGCGTCTCTCATTTCTGGAACCCAAGGGTCACCAGTAGGAATCCCTATCACCAATCCCCACCATAATCTCTGCCTGACCCTGATCCCAGACAGACCAGCCCTATTTGCTCTTTAGGGGAACAGGGAGTTGGAGGGAAAGTTAGGAGTGAGAGGTTGTAATACCTTAAAAGAAAAAAAAAAACTCTTCATGAGCAAAACTGGTTTGTTATTTCCATTTTCTTTAATTGTCTAGCATCGCTTTGAATAATGTGTGTGTGTGCTCAGTTGCTCGGTTGTGTCTGACTCTTTGTGACCCTGTGGACTATAGCCCATCAGGCTCCTCTGTCTATGGGATTTTCCAGGCAAGAATACTGCAGTGGGTTGCCATTTCCTCTTACAGGGGATCTTCCCCACCCAGGGATTGAACCCATGACTCTGGCAACTCTTGTATTGACAGGGAGGTTCTTTACCACTGTACCACCTGGAAAACCCTTGATAAAGTAAAAAGTAAAGTAAAAAAAAGGTTTTTTACACCAATTGTACTGTTGGGATGTAATTTTGCCAGGTTTACAAAATTCTCTTCAGCATTTGGTGGGAGGTCATTTTCCCCCTTATTTGCTAGCTGAACAGCCAAAATCACCATTGTTTTTGATTCTGCCTCTCCTTGAACTTCGCACCAGTCATTTCTCCCCTCACCACTTCCCCTCCCATCCTGGGACACCCTGGACCCAGGAACCATCTCCTTGGAAAGAGCATCAAGTTTCAGTTTCTGTGCACTTGACATCTTTGCTTCAGCATGTTTTTGCAGTTTTGAGCTGTTTTTCTTTTTTTCCCCCCTGTTTGCACAAACTTTTCTGTAATTGGCTTCTTCACTCTTCGTCAGACTTCCTTCTTGGTTTTTTTGTTTTTTTTTTTTTGGTGTGTCTAGTTCCTTCCATCAGGCTCCCTTCTCTGTCCTCACCCCCCGAGGTACCCGACCAGCACTAGAAGCTATATTTTCCCTTTCTCCCCGGATAGCAGCTCCCTTTGGTTTCTATATTTGCTTATTTGTCCCTTTCCACTTGGTGACTCATTCGACTTGGAAGAACCTTTGGACTAGACTTCCCCACCCCTGCCACTAGCCTGATCTGTTTTCTTGCTGTTATTATCACATGATAAGCACGGGAGTTTTTACGTTTCTCTCCCTCCTCCCACTCCCTCCTGAAATTTTCCAGTCCAGTTCCCTGCATGCACTATGAACTTGGAGCTGTTTTGGAAAGTTTTAAAACTGGCCGACGCTTACAGGTTTCATGATCATATTTCCCAGTGAGCCTTAATGCTTCTCCTAATAAGCCCTGGGTTTCTTTCTTTTTACATGTTTATTGCTGGGGTGTGTATACTTACTTATCTCTACCCTTCATGCCAGACATTTAAGTAGATCCCAACTCTTTTAGATCCCCTGGAGAAGGAATTGGCAACTCATTCCAGTATTCTTGCCTGGGAAATCCCATGGAGAGAGAAGCCTGGCAGGTTACAGTCCATGGGGTCACAAAGAGTTGGACATAACTGAATGTGCATGTGCGTGCACATACACACACACACACAAACTCTTTTAATAAATAAATCAAAAGGTTACATTGTGAGAAGGAAGCTGTTTTAAAATTTGTCCTTAAGACATTAAGTCCATGTATCTGTTTGGTTCTTAGGTGATTTAGGAGATCTGGCTTCCTTCTTTCCTGCCCTCCTGGAGTCCTGGTGAAAATACTCCGTGGTGGTTTCAAGGAAGCCAGACAGTTCTGGGTTCAAGGGCTGCCCTGCCAATGACCAGCTATGAGATCTGGGACAAATCATTTCAACACCCCCAGCAGCAGAAAACAAACTATTTATGCAATGCCTGTTTTTGTATAGCTCAAGAGCTAAGAATCACTTTCACATCTTCAAACAGTTGAAAAAAATTCAGAAGAAAAATAGTAGCTCGCGTGTGTGTGTGTGTGTGTGTGTGTGTGTGTGTTAGTCGCTCAGTTGTGTTTGACTGTTTGTGACCCCATAGACTGTAGCCTGCCAGGCTCCTCTGTCCATGGATTTCTCCAGGCAAGTATACTGGAGTGGGTTGCCATTCCCTTCTCCAGGGCATCTTCCTGACCTAGGGATTGAACCTGGGTCTCCTGCATTGCAGGCAGATTCTTTACTGTCTGAGCCGCCAGGGAAGCCCTCGTATCTCACATGTGTAAATTGCTGCGAGGTTCAGCTTTCATCATCCACTGTGTCTTACGGGCACACAGCCATGCCTGTTTGTCTACGGAATTAGAGATTCAGGATCTGGTTCTGACTGCTTTTGAGCTGTTGAAGGTTGAATTGGTAACAGTGACCACCTGACCCCCTTGGAGCTAAAAATAATTTACTCTCTGGCCCTTTACAGCCAAAGTTCACTGACCTCTGCTCTAAGCCTCACTTTCTTTGTTTCTAACTAAGCTAAATGTGACATCGTAAGGGTTAAGTGCCATGATCTAAGCTATGTGCTTGGTTATGGTTCTGGAATATTGGCTATTATCAACAACAATAACTTCTCTGAAAGTGAAAACGTGAAAGTCACTCAGTTGTGTCCAACTCTTTGCAATCCCTTGGACTGTAGCCCACCAGGCTCCTCTGTCCATGGGATTTTCCAGGCAAGAACACTGGAGTGGGTTGCCATTCCCTTCTCCAGGGGATCTTCCCGACCCAGAGATCGAAGCTGGGTCCCTTGCATTGCAGGCGGATTCTTTACCCTCAGAGCCACCAGGGAAGCCCGGTTAACCTCTCTATCGGTGCCTTATCCATAGAGCTATGGTTCTGGAATCCCACGAGGTTCCAAGTCGCTCACATGTTGCAGTGTTTATGCCTCACTCCCTCCACGTCGTTTCTGAGTGGGATCTTTGTCTTTCAGGAGCTGCACCTCTGCGTCTCCCGCCGGCATTATGCTCTGGAGCGCGGCTGCCGGTTACGCGGGCTGCCGCCTGGGAATTACAGCGTGCGAGTTCGGGCCACCTCCCTGGCAGGCAACGGGTCTTGGACGGAAGCCACCTATTTCTACGTGACAGACTATTGTAAGTCTGCACGGCCACTTCGACTGGTAGAGTCTGTGCTTTGCGCTGGGCCTAGCAGGGCATTTCAGAGGATGCTTGGGGAAGCCTGGAGGCTGTGGGTACTGCCTCTGACCTGACCTTGGGGTCCACCGGCTGCCTTGTCCACCAGGGCAAGATGCTTGCCCTTTCTGAGCCCATGCTTCTTCATCTGACTATGGGTATAATACTAGGACCACCACTGGAGGTGAAGGGAAGCTTCGGTGACATCATGAATGTCAACTGGCTGGCACAGGGCACGTGAGATAAGCACGTTCACTCCTGTTATTGGGGTCTCCGTCTTTGTCTTCAGATGGGCCATATCCTCCAACGGAGTATGTGGGAGCTTATCTACTCAGCCTTGGGTGTGCTGGCAGAAAATGCTGCCATTGAGCGAGCTGGACACACTATGGACAGTAGAATAGGGAGAGATGGGGAGAGCCGAGCTGGTCAGGGAGTGCTTCCTGGAGGCGGTGACATCTTGGCTGAAACCTGGAAGAATGTATAAGAGGGGACAGACCAGTGGGTGTAGGAACCCAGACACTTAGAAGGAGGGGCAATTCTAGACCAGGAGGAGTGGAAACTTGGGTGGGAGGGGGGCAGATAGAGCTTCTGCTTAGTTGGCTGGATTTTCATCTACCAACCTTGGTGAGACTGTGGAAAGTGGAAAGGGATTCTTGCTGAGCTGGTTCTGGCCAAGGTCGGGGTCAGGATGAGTGTTCTGACATAACCAGGTTCACAGCACTGTAATTCTGATGTTTTCCACTGGAGTTAGCTCAGACTCAGCAAGTTAAAGAGCATGGTTCCCACCAAAACTACACTCACCTCAGATGCCAGATGCAAGCTTGGGGGTTCTCCACACTACCTGCACTTCTGACTGGCTAGCTACAAATTTGGGGGTTATCACAACCCACTCAGATTTAGTTGCTTGCTAGAGAAGACTCTGATGCTGGGAAAGATTGAGTGCAGGAGTAGAAGGGGACGACAGAGGATGAGATGATTGGATGGCATCATCGACTCAATGGGCATGAGTTTCAGCAAACTCCAGGAGATAGTGAAGGACAGGGAAGCCTGGCAGTCCATGGGGTCATAAAGAGTCAGACATGACTAAAGGACCAAATAACAACCTAATGGCTCATAGAACTCGGGAAAATGCTGTGGGACAGTGACGGCTTTATTATAAAAGATGTAAGTCAGGACCACTCAGATAAAGAGCCACACAGTGCGGGGGCCAAGAGCATGGAAGACATGGGGGGACTGGAAGGCATGGCTTCTGTGTCTTCTCTCCATGGAATCAGGACACATCACAGCACCATCCTGGCATATCAATGTGCCCACCAGCCAGGAAGCTTCTCTGAGCCTTGGTGAACAGAGTTTTTATTGGGGTTTCATTATATCGGTGAGATTGATCAAGTCATTAACCACATGACTGAACTCCATCTCCAAGCCCCCTCCCCTGTCTGGAGGCCAGGCTGAAAGTCCAACCCCTCTAATCACACACGTGGTCTTCCAGTGGCCAACCCCATCTCAAACTATCTTATCTCTTAGCATAAACTCAGGTGTGTTCCAAGGGCTTCATCAATAACAAAGACACTGCTAACATGGATTTTTCAAGGATTTAGAGGGAAACCATGAACAGAATTCAAAAGAAATTATGAAAGTGGGGAAAATATTTGTGACCTCATTGACAAAGAGTTCATATCTTTAATACAAAATGAATATGTATCTATGTCTCCTATGAGTAAAAGATATATGTCCTCACACAAAAATCAGCAAGGGATATAAATAGCCAATTTTAAAAGAAATAAAAAAATAGAAAACATAAGGGAAAAAATTACCAACTTCACTCAAAACCACACCAAAAGGGGGGGAAAAAGCAAATCAAAATGAAATAGAATTTTTAACTTATCAAATTGGCAAGTGTTTTGCTTGTTTCTGTTACTTAGTTACACACAGTGTTGTCCAAGAGTGTGGACACATGGATGTTATTTTTCATGGTGGGTGAGTCCTAAACCACAGTCCTTTAATAACGTATATCCAAAAAAAAGTTTCTAAAAGCTTTTACTGTTTCAACCAGCAATGGTGGTTCTAGAAATTCATCTTAAGGAAATGATCAGAGATGTCACCAAAAGATAAATGATTGAGGAAATTCAGCACAGCTTACTAATAGTAGCTAACAATGGAGAATTAAATATTCAACACATTTGATTAACAACTCTTTCTTAAATAATAAGGAAGCTGGCATGACACCCAGGGTGTAAAATTTAAAGAGGCATTCACCCTCTGGGGGTGACTCTGCCCTGGCATGGCCCAAAGCAAGAGTTCCTCTCAAATTTTGCATCCTGGCTGCCTCCCTTCCTGAATCCTAGTTCTGGTGGCCACTGGAATCTCGGGAGTGAACTGGTCCATGGGTCTGGGAAGCAGAGGTGGGGTGGGATGGGCAGCGTGGCTCCCAGGTGTGCCGGGTGCTGGGCAATCGCTAGCCTATACCTTTCCGCCTGCTAAGAAAAAGGAGGAGGGATGTGCCATGACCAGATGGTTTCCATTTTTCATGTCCCATCCAACCCTGAGTATTCATTGGAAGGACTGATGCTGAAGCTGAATCTCCATTCCTTTGGCCACCTGATGTGAAGAGTCGACTCATTGGAAAAGACCCTGATGCTGGGAAAGATTGAGGGCAAGAGGAGAAGGGGGCAACAGAAGATGAAATGGTTGGATGACATTACCGACTCAATGGACATGAATTTGAGCAAACTCTGGGAGACAGTGAAGGACAGGGAAACCCGGCGTGCTGCCGTTCATGGGGTTGCAAAGAGTCAGACATGACTGAGCAACTGAACAACATCCAATCATCAAATATTTAGAGAGGCTTTCTCCATGTGGAAGGAGGCAGTTTGCTGTCAGTTCAGGGAGGTCCAGGAGGACAAGATGTCTCCAGATAGAGCTGACCCCTAAGGACAGCATGGAGCAGTGGTCAAGAACTTGCTCAGATGGCCTGGGTTCAAATCCCTGCTCCACCATGAATCAGCTCTTAGACTTGGGCAAGAACTCTCACTTCTCTGAGCCTCTGTGTCCCATTTTGTTAACTGGCATTGATGTTAACACCACCCCCACCCCACCCCTGCCACTTTGGCTTATGGAACGATTAACTAAGATCTCCCAGGCAGGGCACTTCAAACAGTGCCTGGTATGTTCATAAGTGTTCAGTAAACTGTTACTGTTAAAGACCCGAAGGACCAGGTTCCTTCTCTGGTTTCCCAGAACTCACTTTCTTCCTTGGCTTGGAAGCATCTGAATACATGGGTGCATTTGTAATTACAGACAATTCAGCCCTGCATGAGAATTAGAAAGAATTAAGGCTGCATAACGTTTCTTCAGTTGGTTTAATTCTTTGGGATGACCCCCTGGCACACACAGGGCACTTCCGATGGATTTTTCATCTGCCAGAGGTGCTGCTGGGATTGAAATAAGCTATTTAATTTGAAGGGTTCAGTGCAAACTGAAAAGACGTGGTCCCTTATTTAAAAAGTGTTAAGATTTTCAAGACAGGAAGAGCAGAGCATTGAAGAGAGCAGGACCTTCTCAGGGCTTCCCTGGTAGCTTCAGTTCAGTTCAGTCACTCAGTCGTGTCCAACTCTTTGCAACCCCATGGACTGTAGCACGCCAGGCTTCCCTATCCATCACCAACTCCCGGAGCTTACTCAAACTCATGTCCATAATGTCGGTGGTGCCATCCAACCATCTCATCCTCTGTCATCCCATTCTCCTCACACCTTCAATCTTTCCCAGCATCAGGGTCTTTGCCAATGAGTTGGTTCTTCACATCAGGTGGCCAAAGTATTGGAGTTTCAGCTTCAGCATCAGTCCTTCCAATGAACATTCAGGACTGATTTCCTTTAGGATTGACTGGTGGATCTCCTTGCAGTCCAAGGGACTCTCAAGAGTCTTCTCCAACACCACAGTTCAAAAGCATCAATTCTTTGGCACTCAGCTTTCTTTATAGTCCAGCTCTCACATCCATACATGACTACTGGAAAAACCATAGCTTTGACTAAATGGACTTTTGTTAGTAAAGCAATGTTTTTTAATATGCTGTCTAGTTTGGTCATAGCTTTTCTTTCAAGGAGCAAGCGTCTTTTAATTTCATGGCTGCAGTCATCATCTGCAGTGATTTTGGAGCTCAAGACAATAGAGTCTCTCACTGTTTCCATTGTTTCCCCATCTATTTGCCATGAAGTGATGGAACCAGATGCCATGATCTTAGTTTTCTGAATGTTGAGTTTTAAGCCAACTTTTTCACTCTCCTCTTTCACTTTCATCAAGAAGCTCTTTAGTTCTTTGCTTTCTGCAATAAGGGTGGTGTCATCTGTGTATCTGAGGTTATTGATATTTCTCCCAGCAATCTTGATTCCAGCTTGTGCTTCATCCAGCCTGGCATTTCACGTGTTGTACTCTGCATATAAGTTAAATAAGCAGGGTGATAATACAGAGCCTTGACGTACTCCCTTCCCGATTTGGAATCAGTCTGTTGTTCCATGTCCCATTCAAACTGTTGCTTCTTGAACTGCATACAGGTTTCTCAAGAGGCAGGTCAGGTGGTCTGGTATTCCCATCTCTTTAAGAATTTTTTAGTCTGTTGTGATCCACACAGTCAAAGGCTTTGACTTAGTCAATAAAGCAAAAATAGATATTTTTCTGGAACTCTCTTGCTTTTTCGATGATCCAGTGGATGTTGGCAATTTGCTTTCTGGTTCCTCTGCCTTTTCTAAATCCAGCTTGAACATCTGGAAGTTCACGGTTCACATACTGTTGAAGCCTGGCTTGGAGAATTTTGAGCATTACTTTGCTAGCATGTAAGATGAGTGCAATTGTGCAGTAGTTTGAACATTCTTTGGCATTGCCTTTCTTTGGGATTGGAATGGAAACACCTTTTCCAGTCCTGCGGCCATTGCTGAGTTTTCCAAATTTGCTGGTATATTGAGTGCAACACTTTCACAGCATCATCTTTCAGGATTTGAAATAGCTCAACTGGAATTCCATCACTTCCGCTAGCTTTGTTCATAGTGATGCTTCCTAAGGCCCACTTGACTTCGCATTCCAGGATGTCTGGCTCTAGGTGAGTGATCACACCATCGTGATTATCTGGATCATGAAGATTTTTTTTGTACAGTTCTTCTGTATATTCTTGCCACCTCTTCTTAATATCTTCTGCTTCTGTTAGGTCCATACCATTTCTGTCCTTTATTGTCTTTGCATGAAATGTTCCCTTGGTATCTCTTTGTATCTCTAATATCTCTAATCTGGTAGCTTAGGGGTAAAGAATCCTCCTGCCAATGTAGGAGATCCAGGTACGATTCCTGGGCTGGGAGGATCCCTTGGAGAAGGAAATGGCAACCTGCTCCAGTATTCTAGCCTGGAAAATCCCATGGACAGAGGAGTCTGAAAGGCTAAAGTCCACGGGGTCTCAAAGAGTCAGACATGACTTAGTGACTGAAAATCAACAAGGACCTTCTGAGTATGGGGACCTGGCTGATGGTTTGGGTTGCATGTCTATGAAGCTGGGGGTGAAGGGAGAAAGCTGGCACTGGGCAGTGGTCTGGGATCATTGCAGGGGATACTGACTCAGGGACTAGAGAAGAGGAACAAGCGTGAGTGGCCCATTAGATGTATAGATATGCTTTCTGGCGTGACCTTTGATGTGAACACATTTTGATGAGAACCCTACATTTTCTTATTCTATTTCAGTAGACGTGCCATCAAATATTGCAAAAATCATCATCGGTCCCCTCATCTTTGTCTTTCTCTTCAGTGTTGTGATTGGAAGTATTTATCTATTCCTGAGAAAGAGGTGAGTGTGGTGATATGCTGGTAAGTGGTTAACAACCAGCTCTCTTGGGGAAAAGTATGTCTACATGTGTGTTAGTCTCACGGTCATGTCCAACTCTGCAACCCCATGGACTGTAGCCTGGCGGACTGCATTGTCCATGGAATCCTCCAGGCAAGAATACTGGAGTGGATAGCTATTCCCTTCTCCAGGGGAACCTTCCTGACCCAGGGATGAAACCCAGATCTCTTGCATTGTAGGCAGATTGTTTACCATCTGAGCCAACAGGGAAAGCCATATGCATTATGATAGGATTTAATTTATCCACTTTCTTTTAAACATAGACTTGATTTCTTAGTTTTCAGTTCATAGTAAAACTGAGGCAAAAGTATAAGAATTTCCCATACACCCCTTGACCCATGCATGATCCCCTATCATCAACATCCCCCATCAGAGTGGTTATTTGTTATAACTGATAAACCTACATCAATACATCGTTATCACCCAAAGTCCATAATTTATACTATGGTTCACTGTCGGTGATGTGCGTTGTATGGATTTGGACAAATAATACAATGACATGTTTCTACTGGGGCTTCCCCAGTGGCTCAGTGGTAAGGATTCCACCTCACAATGCAGGAGATGCAGGTTCGATCCCTGGATCAGGAAGATCCCCTGCAGAAGGAAATGGCAACCCACTCCAGTATTCTTGCCTGGGAAATCCCATGAACAGAGGAGCCTATTCATGACCATGGGGTCACAAAAGAGTCAGGCACAGCTTAGCAACTAAATAACTACCACAATGCACTCATGAACATATAGTATTTCTGCCATATGTATGCAATCATCTAAATAAATAAGATAACAGATATGGAGAGAAGAGTGTCCAATATAGTAAGACACAGTGTGATAATTAGGAAGTGGTCAGTTTTGAGTATGCGTTACATTTGCTTCGAAGATAATATATTTAACTGTAGGCTTATGTAATTTAATTTTAAGTGGTGGTTGTATTTAACAACTGGCAAATTTCCTGAAAATTTAAAGTTGTTTCTCATAAGCTGGAATGAGATGGTTTCAGAACAGCAGCGGGTGAATAGTTTTTAGATGTTATAATGACAACCATAAATTATAGTTTATGGGTAAGCTGTTCCACGCTGATGCACTTAAGTAGCCATCTGATGGGCTTCTGCTAAAAAAAATTAGGATCCCCCATCCTCACCGCAGACTGTATCCAGGATTATGTGGCTTCTGCTAATAAGGGTAGCTGTTTGCTCTGGGGAGGTTATATCCTCTGCTAGATACCCACAGAGTCCTGTGAGTTTATCAAGAAGGAGTATCTCCATTTTTCTCATCCAGGCAGCCAGATGGGCCACTGGGACCACTGTATGCTTCTTCAAATCCAGAGTACCTCAGTGCCAGCGATGGTGAGTTCTATCCCTTTGCCTGTGGGTGACCGGAACCCCTCTGTTTGGTTTCCTATGCCATCTCCATCAATGAATAGTCAAGGGTTGGTACCCTGGCGGGCTGAGAAGAGTCTTCTTGCTCCCTGGAATCGGCACACCTGCCCCTTGTGCAGAAACCCTGTTACCAGGAGCAATTAGACACCTGCCGTCTGGCACTTGTTTGGATGGGCTGATCTAGATGGTCTAGATGTGCTTGGGCTGGGCTGAGACACCCTGAACTTGGTGCTGCTGCTCTAGAGATATAGAGCATGGGTCCCATGCTAGAGAGCGTGCCAAGGGTTAGAGCCGGAAAGTGGTGACAAAACAGGCCATCCAAGCTGGGCGGTGGGGTCAGAAGCCAAGATGGGAGACTGGAGATGAGGGATGGGCAAACAAGAAGCAAGGACCAGATGGGGAATATGGGAGGCTGGGTGGGTACCACCAGCACCTCTGCCGTTGGTGGCCACTGAATATGGGTGAGATGCTGATGCTGGTGACAGGAGCATAGGACCGATGACCATATTCCCTTGATTGTACCAAAGGGCAGTGAGTGACCCTTGTAGATAAAGCTTTGACTGTTCCTTTAGACATGAAGGCAGCTATTGCATTACAACCTTCTAAAATGCTTCATGCAGCAAAAAAAATCAAAGAGCAACTTTCAAGGCATGAACACTATTGCATGGCAGGATGCTGCTTTGGGAGACAAGGGTGATGTTTTTAAGGATACCTGGGATTCATTTCAAAGAAGTCTGATAAGACATGCAGACATGGAAGTGACTGTCATGAGAAAGAAGTGTAGACTCATGGAGCCTGGAAAAACAGGAGGCAGGGCCACACGGGGAAGCACCAGTGTTGGTCAGGAGGCAGAGGGAGTGAGAGAAAAATATGAGCAAGAGGCTTCAGTGTCTTTTCCATGGGAAAGGTGAAGTAAGACATGGGAGGGGCTAATTCAAGCTAAACTATTTCAGCAGGATCTGGGGCATAGGAACTGTCTCCTATCTGGACCTGGGATGATCAGGGCAGGGGGATGGTGACTCAGAGTGTGAAAGCCTGATGATGGAGAGGATTAGGATGTGGGCTCTGGACTGGCTGATTTGCATATGAAAGGTGGACTCACAGGCACTTCATTTACTATCTGTGAGTTGGCCACCCCTGGGAAGGGCAGTCCTTCCAGGGCCAGCAAGACCTCAAAGCATCAGAATAGAGAAACTAGACAAGGGAGTTATTCTAGGTGGGACTAGGCACAGAGTCCAGGAGTAAGAAGGGGTGAGTGTTGATCCAGAGCCTTCCTCTCTCTGTTTGGGGAGTGGCATTGTTAACCATGTCAGAGATGGGAAAGCTGAACCCCAGGGCTGCCATCAACTCTCTCAGTGTTGTGCATCCACACTACTATCCTGCTTCCTTCTGGGGCTGCAGCAGTGGCTGAGAGAACAGGGGTGCTCAGTGAAAGCTGGAAGTTATAGCTCATGGCTCTTTAAGGCCAGGAAGTTCTGGGCCAAGAAGTACACAGAGGGAAAGGTCCAAGCTCAGGGCTCTCGGGGGGGAGGGGGGAGGTGTGGGAGGGACTCCCCAGTGAGTATGTGTAAGTTCATTTGGGTTCAGAGCTCTTGTATGGTCCAATGTCCCTGCAAGAGCCATTGGTGATGGTATTGTGTTGCTTGGACTGCTGTACTCAGGCTGGGTGGCTTAGAAAACAATTTGATCTCCTCACAGTCCTAGAGGCTGGAACTCTGAGATCAAGGTGTCAGCAGGATAGGTTTCTCCTGAGTCCTCTCTCCTTGGCTCGTAGATGGCCATCTTCTCCCTGTGTCCTCACATGGTTTTCCCTCTGTGTCTGTATCCTAATCTCTTCAAGGACTCCAGTCAGATTGGATTAGGGCCACTCTAATGACCTATTTTACCTTGATCATCTCTGTAAAGACTCCACCTCTAAATACAGTCACGTTCTGAAAAACTTGGGTTAGGACATCAACATATACATTTGTGAGGGATACGATTTTAGCACACAACAGGTGCAGAGGAGAGCAGGAAGCATCATGGTTTCTCTTAAGACTGTGTATTTGTCTGCAAATTATTTGCTGCAGTGTAACAAACCACTACAAACTTAGGGGCTTAAAACAACCACTATCTATTGGCTCAAAATTTGATGGGTTTGCCACCTGGGCAGTGCTCAGCTGGGTGGTTTTTCTGGTCTCACTCACATGGCTGTAGCCCTTTTGCAGATCCACTGGCACTGAGTTGTCTTGAATCGGCTCACTCACCTATCTGGTGGCAGGCAGGCTGGGTGTTCCCCCTTCCTTTTGGTACTTTGCAGAAACAACAGGCTTAGAAGGAAAGTAGCATCCTTTGGTAAGGGGACTCTGAAATCAGACAGGATGCAGGCTCAGCTCGGCACGTTACTGGCTAGGACCACGGACTGATTATGGCTTCTTCCTGAACCTCTGTCCATCCTGTTATTGGCCCTGTGCCCACTGCCCAGCACAAGGTCTGGACCACAGGAACCACTTTAGTGAACATTTACAAGGAGGAGGTGGGTGGGAGGTGGCCAGGACCCCCAAGGGGTCTGCTGAGGGTGCTGTGTAGATAAGTGAGGAGTAGTATTTCCTTGCTCTGTGTATGTGCCGGACGAGTGGGAGGTGCCTCGAGAGAAGATCACGCTCCTGCGAGAACTGGGGCAAGGCTCCTTTGGCATGGTCTACGAGGGCAACGCCAGGGACATTGTCAAGGGTGAGGCGGAGACCCGCGTAGCAGTGAAGACGGTCAACGAGTCAGCCAGCCTGCGAGAGCGGATCGAGTTTCTCAACGAGGCTTCGGTCATGAAGGGCTTCACCTGCCACCATGTGGTGAGTCCCCCTGCTGGCTCCGGGAGCAGACAAAGGCTTTATTTTTTAATTTTTATTTTAGTTTTTTAAATTTTAGTTGGAGGATAATACACTACCATGTGCAAAATAGATAGCTAGTGGGAAGCTGCTATATAACACAGGGAGCCCAGCCAGCGCTTTGTGATGACATAGAGCCTATATATACTTATGAGTGATTTGCTTGCTGTGTGGCAGAAACCAACAAAACAGTGCAAAGGCTTCCTTAACACACATTCTCTCGTCCCATCTCCTCCATCCTTCCTCTTAATGCATAGAGCTTGAGGATGCTGGGTGTGGACCTTCTGCCCAGCCCCCACTCTGCTGAGCATCCCAAAGGTGGCCCTTCCCTTCTCATTTCTCCAATCCCATCCTCTCCCACCTCACCTAGAGTGAGACCCTTTTGCTGTCCCATCACTTTCTAGAATCTTCTGTCTCTTCCCTCTTCCCGGCTCCTATGTAACCTTTAAACACTGTGGTCCACCTGATCCCTGCCCCCCACTCCCCAGTCAGCACAGACTCTCCCTGCCTTTCTACTCCTTTAGTTTCCCCTTGAGCCTGTGTCCTTTCATCCTTGCCCCAAGCATATTCTTGCAGCACCTGCTCTATATGAGCTCCATTCTCCTCTCTGGGATGCTGTGGATGTCTGTCCTCCTGGAGCTCCCAATCCAGAGGTGGGGACAGAATCTAAACCCAGCAAGTTCATGATGTCATCACATGAGGAGACGATGCTATGGCAACAGGGGAGAGAAGGGCAGAGCTGGGGATTTGGGAAGGCAGCAGTGGCAAAGGCATATTTGAGCAAAGACTCCAGGATGTAGGGACTGGGTTGAGAGACAGGTGAGAGGACAGAGCATCAGGCAGAGGGAACAGTTAATGCAAAGTTCTGGAGGTGGGCTCAGAGATACAAGGGTTTGCCTTGGCATGTTGCTGTTTGGGAGCAGCCATTTACTCACTTCTTTAAGTAGTATTTGTGCAGGCCACTGCAGGAGATGTTGCAGGGACAAGGTTGAATGAACCACTGTGATTCTTTTGGCCCTTGTGCAGCTTGCTTTTTTTTTGGCCTCGCCCCATGGCTTATGGGATCTTGGTTCCCAGCACAGAGTCCTAACCACTGGATTGCCAGGGAATTCCCCGTAGCTTGCAATTTTCATCTGTACCATCCAGGACAGTGGGGCTTCCCTGATAACTCAGTTGGTAAAGAATCTGCCTGCAATGCAAGAGACCCCAGTTCAATTCCTGGGTCAGGAAGATCCACTGGAGAAGAGATAGGCTACCCACTTCAGTATTCTTGGGCTTCCCTTGTGGCTCAGCTGATAAAGAATCCACCTGCAATGCAGGAAACCTGGATTTGATCCCTGGGTTGGGAAGATCCCCTGGAGAAGGGAAAGGCTACCCACTCTAGTATTCTGGCCTGGAGAATTCCATGGACTGTGTAGTCCACGGGGTCGCAAAGAGTCGGACACGACTGAGGAACTTTCACTTTCATCCAGGACAGTGGCCACTTGCTTCCCCACCCCAAATCCAACAAGATGTTGACCTTGGTGTTTCTTTGGAACAAACCAGGGCTTCCTACAGGCCACTCAGGACCAGGGTGCTGGGTGTGATGTAGGTACCACACAGAAAGACCCAGGTGGGTGGACATCTTCTCACAGACCCTCATTTCAAGAATCTCCCCCACCCCTGCGTATTCCACAGGTCCGCCTCCTGGGGGTGGTGTCCAAAGGCCAGCCAACGCTGGTGGTGATGGAGCTGATGGCTCACGGAGACCTGAAGAGTTACCTCCGTTCCCTGCGGCCTGAGGCTGAGGTGAGCTGTCTCCAGCTACCTGGCAGGGCGCCCAGCGCTCACGGGCCTCGGGCACCTGTGTGGCTGAACACGCACCCCTGTTTCAACTTTAGAATAACCCCGGCCGCCCTCCCCCTACCCTGCAAGAAATGATTCAGATGGCAGCAGAGATCGCCGACGGGATGGCATACCTGAATGCTAAGAAGTTCGTGCACCGGGATCTTGCAGCCCGGAACTGCATGGTCGCTCATGACTTTACCGTCAAAATTGGAGGTGCGTCTGGCATTCTGCCTTGAAATGTGTGACCCAGGCTTTTTGGCTTCAGTTGTCTATAGCGAGCACTTCAATCTTTTCTAGCAGTGGGAAGGGGTAGGGTTTGGGATGGGGGCTCACCCTCATGCCGTAGTTTAATTGCATTTGTCCTTTACTTCATTCATTCACTTCTTTAAGTAGTATTTGTGCTGGTGGCTGCAGGAGGTGTTACAGGAGCAAGGTTGAGTAAGTCACCATAATTTTTCTGCCCTTGAGAAACTTGCAATTTTTGGCCTGGCCACATGGCTTCTGGGATGTTGGTGGGAACCAACATCAGAGTCCTAACCATTGAACCCCAGGGGAATTCCCTGCAGCTTGAAGTTTTTATCTGCACCATGCAGCACAGTAAAATAAAACAAATTCAGTAAAAGTAAATAAAAATAATTTAAATTCAGTAAAACAAAATTTTAAAATTCAGGAAAATAAAATTAATTCAATAAAATAATTAAAATTCAGTGAACTAATTTAAATTAATTTAAATTCAGTACAATAGAATGAGGTTAATTCAGTAAAATAAAATAAAATTAGTTCAGTAAAATAAAATAATTAAAATTCAGTGAACTAATTTAGAACTTCCCAGATAGCACTCAGGGTAAAGAACCCACCTGCCAAGACAGGAGTCATAAGAGATGCAGGTTCGATCCCTGGGTTGGGAAGATCTCCTGGAGGAGGAAATGGCAACCCAAGCCAGTATTTATGCCTGGAGAATCCCACGGACAGAGGAGCCTAGCAGCCTACAGTCTGTGGGGTCACAAAGGGTCCGATACGACTGAAGAGACTTAGCACTCACACATGAGGAGGTTGAGACTCTGTCTTGTCTGTGGAGTGTGAGGACAAGGGGTTGTGAAGGGAGGATCCCGCCTTCGGTTTCTGGCTGTGCAGCTAGGTGGGTAGTGGGGCCAGATCCAATGGGGAGCAGTAGGTTGGCTACAGAGGGTGAAAAGTTCAGTATGGGTGGCCTGTGAGGTCACAGGTAGGAAGGGAGTTTTGCTGAGACTGAAATCCCCGTGTTGCAGGTCAGAGCGTCGCTGCTTTGCTGCTTGGTGGTTCTTTTCTTTCCTTTTAAATGGTGATCCACCCTCCCCCTCCATACCCCCTGAGTACCCTCAGAATCCATTCTCACTGAATTTGGCTGTGACCCGGGTGAGCACGCCCCTGGAGCAGGTGAGCTCACCCCAGGAGCAGGTGAACTCAAGAGCTCTGCCAAGGGTGGGGGAGTAAAGACGGCAGACAGCTGGGGTGCAGCTGAAGGCTAAGAGCATGTGAACTGTTTGTTGTCAGACTTCGGAATGACAAGAGACATCTATGAAACGGATTACTACCGGAAAGGGGGCAAAGGTCTGCTCCCTGTGCGGTGGATGGCACCTGAATCCCTGAAGGATGGAGTCTTCACCACCTCTTCGGACATGTGGTGAGTTATGTGTGGGCTGGCGGAAAGAACACTGCACTTGAATTCCAGGTTGCTCTGCTAGTATGACCAGCAAGAGAGGAGTCACTTAAAAGCAGACTTCTTCATGGCTTCTCCATCAAGAAAAGGAAGGGATAGCATGTCGGGGGGGACCCTTGCACAACTACTATGACATTCCAATGAAGATTAGTCTTATAGGAATCTCTGAACTGCAGCATTAACTGGTTACAGAACTGGCCAACCAGGTTCTAGTAAGCCAAGAAAGGGTGTGTGTGTTTATTTGAATGGCTTCATTGTTACTACTCCCAACTGTCATTGGCAGGTCTTTTGGTGTGGTCCTTTGGGAAATCACCAGCTTGGCAGAACAGCCTTACCAAGGTCTATCAAATGAGCAGGTGCTGAAATTTGTCATGGATGGAGGGTACCTGGATCAACCTGACAATTGTCCAGAGAGAGTGTAAGTGTAGAAAGGCGGTGTAGTGTGTGGGGTGCTCATTCAAAAGTCTGTGCCTTTTGCATGGATACTCATGTTTGCATATTGTATGTCTATGTGTGTTTGTGTTTGCAAGTTTTATCTTTGAATACACACTTGTGTTTTATATGATGTCAGTATGTGTGTTTTTGCTTGCCTTTTGCATGCACACTTGGATTTGCATATTGTGTCTACATATTACTACATGCTTGTGTGTTATATCATTACATGTGTGCTTTATTGCCTTTCCTATCTTCAGAAGGTTGTATAGGATACGGCACAGCAGTGGTTATTTGGGGGATAAAACTGGAGAGCTGGGGTGGAGACTTACATTTAACTACATATTCTTCTTATATCTCATTGAAAGTGGAAAAAAGAAATCACGAATTATAAACACTAAAGCTTCGGGGGTACATACACCATATCCCCTTCCAATATTTGTCTTAAATTTTTGTTGCAGGAGCAGATGTACAACACAAACATCAAATGCACATCAATAAACACTTGCAAAATTGTCCAGCATTGTAATAGTCCAATAAATGTAAAGTAAAATAAAGGAAAGTACTATCTTCCTAAATTAGCAATAAAAAGAAGGGAGGGAGAGAAGGAAAGAAGGAAGAGTTATGATATTCACTGCTCTCAATGGCATGTCTAGATAGTCATTCGTGTCACTCTATTGTAAGAATTTTTTGTTTGTTGTCCTTCAGTTGCTAAGTTGTGTCCAACTCTTTCATGACCCATGAACCTCCAGGCCCCTCTGTCCATGGGAATTCCCAGACAATATTACTGGAGTGGGTAGCCATTTCCTTCTCCAGGAGATCTTCTTGACCCAGGGATCAAACCCAAGTCTTCAGCATTGGCAGACAGATTCTTTACCACTGAGCCACCAAGGAAGCCCATGGTAATAATAACTACTCACAGAAATTTTATTTAAAGTCTCCCAAAAAAAAGAAAGAAAGAAATGATCTAAACATCCAACAATATGAGAACTGGCAAGTAAATTGATAAAATAATCAATAAAGTAATTTGATAAAAGAATACACTATAGCAATTGACATTTCAGATGATGCTTATGAAATATTTTGTAACTCAGTGGTCTAGGTTATGTTAAAATATTAAGGGTAGTAAATGTGTATAAATTGCATTTCCAAATGTATCCAGACAGAAAAGATGAGATTATATCTGAAAGAGAGTTGTGTGCAAGCTGTATTTTCACTATATTGTTGGGTGTTTTCTACCTCTCTACAATAAGCATTTACTATGCATTGCTTATTGCATGTAATATTTCTTTACTAGTGTTTCTGGGGGAAAAAAAAAAGTTTGCCTTCCTGAAAAAAATGCATGGAAGAAGGCCATTTTGATGCTTCATCCTTGAAAGAATAAGGTATCAGTTTAGAAAACCTAATTTGAAGAAATCTCACATGCAAAAAAGTATGAAACAGAGTTCCTTGGAAACTTGGAGCAAAATATTTCTAAACGTTGCTCCATGAAGTTTCTCTCCTGGCTATGTCAGGAGGAAATTAGTGCCCCTAGGGTGGGGACCTGCCAACTTTTCCTCTAAAGGGCCATATGGTATTTTCAGCTTTTGGAGCCTGGCAGTTCTCTGCCTTGTAGTTCAAATCAGCCCGGGACAATGCATAATTGAATGGGTATAGCCACGTGCTGATAAAATTTTATTTACAAAACCACTTGGAGGACCAGATTTGGTCCGGGGTGAAGTTTGCCAACTCCTGCCCTGGAAGAAGTTACAATAGTGAAAGGAAGAGGTAAAATGGAAATCTTGAGCCCCTGGGTCCTATCCTAAGTAAAGTCATCGTCCCCTGATCCCTCCTCTCCTTTCCTTCTCCAGAGAGTGGGGCCTGGGCTTGCGGAACAGCTGCTCAGAGCTGGCCCTCTATGATGGGCCCACCCAGCTGCCCTCATTCTGAGCATCAATGTGTATATAAAATGATGAACCCACAGAAATAGACCTACAGACACAGAAAAGAGACTTATGGTTACCAAAGGGGAAAGGAGGCGGGGAGGGATAAATTAGGAGTTTGGGATTAATAGATCCACACTCCTGAATATAAAATAAACAAGGACCTACTGTATAACACAGGGAACTATATTCAATATTTTGTAATAACCTATAAGGGAAAAGAATCTGAAAAATGATTATACATACACGGGCTTGACCAAAGTGTGTGTTTCCATAACGTCTTACAGAAAAATCTGAATGAACTTTTTGACCAACCCAATCTATCTGAGGGCCTCCTGGTGACTCAGTGGTAGAGAATCTGCCTGCCAATGCAGGAGATGCAGGTTCAGCCCCTGGGTCTGGAAGGTTCCCTGAAAGAGGCAATGGTAGCCCATTCCAGTATTCTTGCCTGGAGATGTGGGTGGACAGCGGAGCCTGGGAGTCTGTAGTTGTGGGGTCCTAAAGAGTTGCACATGACTTAGCGACTGAACAACAGCAACAACAAAAATATATATATCTGAATCCCTTTGCCGTACACCTGAAACTAACACAACATCGTAAATCAACTCTAATATTAAAAAAAAAAAAAACAACTGATGGACCTGGCTGGTCTTCACCAAGTGGCAATATCAGGAGAGACCCTTGTGGATCTGGTTTGGGAAACCCTTGGCTCTCTTTTTAAAACCATCTTTCACGCCCTTCGAATGGCTGTTTCTGCTTGACCCTGGAGGTCAGCACTTGTCCGCATGGGAGTGAGTGCCCTGCAGGTGCGGGGTGGGGGAAGGAGGGCCGCTTGGCGGGGGGCCCCGGGTCCTCACCCTCCACGTGCCCCTCTCTGTCCCGCAGCACCGACCTGATGCGGATGTGCTGGCAGTTCAACCCCAAGATGCGTCCGACCTTCCTGGAGATCGTGGACCTGCTCAAGGACGACCTGCACCCCAGCTTTCCTGAAGTGTCCTTCTTCCACAGCGAGGAGAACAAGGCGCCCGAGAGCGAGGAGCTGGAAATGGAGTTTGAGGACATGGAGAGCGTGCCCCTGGACCGGTCCTCGCACGCGCAGAGAGAGGAGGCCGGGGGCCGGGATGGAGGGTCGGCGCTGGGGCTAAAGCGAAACTATGACGAGCACATCCCCTACACCCACATGAACGGGGGCAAGAAAAATGGACGGATTCTTACTCTGCCCCGGTCAAATCCTTCCTAACGACCCCTGCTAGTGGGGGAAGGGTTCCTGAATTCACTTCCCTCTGGTTCGAAGGCCTCCAGAAAACTCAGGATTTCCACCTAACTCTGCCACAGTGTCAAACAGAGCTCAGAGATCACGACTATCCATTTCTGTTCCTCTTCTGACTTCAAACGCAGTGGTTCCATTGCCTATTCGACTTGTCATCTGAGCACTTAACTGTGAACCTGGATGGGGAAGGGGTTTCCACGGCTGCTGTCCTTTTGGGCCACCGAGGTTTCAAGCCCAGATGTTATTGTTATTGTTATTATTATTATTTTCCCTAGTAGTTTGAAAGAAAGCACCTATTTTTACAAAGTTTTTTTTTTTTTTTTTTGCTAGAGTCTGAGCTACAGTAGAAAACATAAATCTTGTTTATGAAGCAGAAGTTAGAAAGAAACAAACCCAGTTCTAGTAGAATCCCAAGCTTTACCGAGTGGGCTTCAGGAAAGTGTTTTTTCATCCAGGCTGAAGGATTGTTTTTTGTTTTTTTCCTTCACAAAACCAGTTCCTCAAATTGACCAATAGCTGCTGCTTTTGTACTTTGGATATGGGTCTGCAGTCCCGATGTGTGGTTCCTGTGTGCACTTATGTGTGTGTGTGTGTGTGTGTGTGTGTGTGTGTGTGCGCGCGCGCGCGTGCACAAATCATGTGTGCTGAGTGGACACTTTGGGGATCAGCCCATGAAGGTTCAGCTCTTCTGGAGTAAGTGAGTCCCTGCTTCCCTCCCCACCCCTTCCTTCTTTTCTACTGGGAGACTGTGCCCTCAACAAATTCTTCTGTCCCAAATGGGGCCTCAGGATTCTTCTCTCCCTTAACTTTGGTGAAAAATGTTTTCTGGGAGCCATGGGAGTCATTGGAGTGATAATGGATCTTTTCAAGACCAAACAAAGCCAGGACATAGGAAAGATTTTTTAAAAGAAGAAAAGAAAAATAAGAACTGAGATGATGAAGAGTTTTGAGAATATATTTGTAACATATTTAATTTTTAAAAAGAATCTCCAGTATCCGCCTCATAAATTATTGACCGTTTCCTGGGGTGGGAGGTGGGGCGTGTGGGTTTGTCTGCCTGTGTGGGGCAGGAGGAGCCAGGCAACGGTGGCCTCTTTGCTTGGTCTTCAAGACATCCATTTTTTCTGGGACTAAAGCCACATTAGCTGCTAATCCTCTGGACATCGTGGTGAGGCCACGCTGAGTGTGTGGGCAATGGGGTTTGATGGATGGTTTGGTTTCTGCTCTGAAAAGCTGAGCCCTGCCTTCGAACACACTTGTGGCTCCTGGATCTTCTGGTTCCCTCTGTGTACTTCTCAAGCTTCCTCAGCAGGGTGTCCATGTCCCACAGGGACTGTGCAAATTCGGCACCATCAGATCTCAAAGTGGGACAGCACGAGTGGACTTTGAAAACACTAGCAATATGAAGACGTGCCTGTCGGTCCCCTCCGCCCTCAGGGCATCCGACCGTCCTCAGAACTGAGCTCCCAGAAGCTGCTCTGCGCCCAGTGACTTCAACTGGACCAGGTGTGGAGCCTGAGCTGAATTCTCAGGTACTTAACGATCGTGCAGTCCCTAAGAGAGTCAAGTCCGGAGGAGAAATCGCTAAGGACCTTCACACTACGGAGAACATGAGAATGGGCGTGATGCCACAGTTGCTTCCCTTCTGGGGGACGAATGACCGCTGCTCAAATACAGAACATGATGGACTCATTGCCATGGTTCATCCAAATCATCACCCACAGGTTATCTCTCGAGTGCATTTCCTCACGAGTCTAAGACTGCTTTCCTTCTCAAGAATTGTGGGCTTCAGAACACCTGGGATGCCATGGTGCCCTCCAAACCCTCTCAGTTCTTGATGAAGAACACAGGTAGACACGCATCCCAGTTGCCTCTGGCTATCTTATTTATACGATTTCAGAAATGACAGCATGTCAGTATATTTCCAGGGAGCCTCAGTGATTGGGTACAAGGAGCACAGAAATTATTTTCGCCAAATTTATTTTGTACATAGACAAGGATCTGTATGTAAGTTAAAAAAGAACGAAACACGTAGATCTAGGTATTTTGTTCTTTTCGTAGTAAATTTGTAGTGGCCATATACTACGGTAGCAGCAATTTTCACTTTTTTCTAATTCAGAAAGGTTTTCTTATATTAGGGGAAAATTATTTATTTTAATATATAAAAATCACTGTAAAAAAATCACTTTCATAAGAAATGGTGAGCATGTAAAAAATTTTTTTTCAAAGAAAAATAAACAGGTGAATGTGGGGTAATGATTTTTTTTTCCCAGCACAGTCTACCTCAGTGTATTGTTAGGATGTGGTTCAATAATGGACATCTTTGAGACTTCAGAATTCTGTCTGGATCCGATCTGAATCAGGGAAGATTCATATCAGCTGATTCCGAATGCCAGGGACCAGTAAGAATTTTGAGGGAGGGAGTGGGGCTGAAGTATGGCTTTCATGTGAGCATAGATCCTTTTCCTGGCTGATAATATTCGCCTCTGAATTTAATCTTCCTTTTTTTTTTTTTTCTTGTTTGATCCTCCATCCATTGACACCGTGGCCTTTAAGAATGAAGCAAGTTTCAGGCCATCACGATGGATCTGATGTGTCCAGTTCTGAGCTACCCTTAGCTGATGAGGGAAGCTGCATTGTTGAGACAGAGACAGTCTTTGATCCAGCCAGCACGCTCCCTTCCCCTTAGAATCTCCATGGTGTGAGCATCTAGGTGCCCTAGGCTCTCCATGGTTTATTTCCACTCTTTTTAGGCTGAGATGCTTTGGGTGGGGAACATATCATTGTCTTGGGAACTTCACACACAAGCACTCAATGCAGTGTCTGATGTTATTCTCTGAGTGGGAAGGGAGATGTTGAGAAATCTCAACCCTAAACCCACTGAGAGGCTGAACGCATTTTTTTAGCAACAAAACCTTGGACCCTCTCATTTTGGTTTGGTTGACTTCAAGATGATGCTGTTTGACCTTAGGTACTTTGACAACCCATGTGTAAGCCTAGATGGGGCCAGCAGAAATGCTGTTGTACGCACCAAACCTCACTGCCCTTCCCATACCTGTAGGCACCACCCCAGCAGAGTCACCTTTCTCCACTTGCCCTGGAGAGGTACTGTAAAGTGCTGGGTCTGCCCTTTGTGAATGGAATTCCCCTGACTTCATTTAGCTATCTCTGCTGCAGCAGTGAAAGAACAAGCAGGCTTGGATCACAGCCTCCTTTTGCATCAGATAATGTGGACTCTGTCACAACAGAATTCAGTCCTCGAAACGGATGTCCTGGAGGATTGTAGTGATGGATTTTTTTTTTTTAAAGCAACAAAGCCAGCTTTGGTTGAATTTTTTGTTTTTGTTTTTAAAGGTGTCTCATTATTTTAAAAGCCCTTTTTATTTGTGTGGCAAAAATAAACATATAGTAGTTCCTCCCTGGATCAGTGATGTCAAACGCACGTCTGGAAATGTTTGTATTCTGGGAGCTGTCCTGGGTGCTTTTCTGTCGTTTTAAGCTAGTAAGAAGCAAGAAGTGTTGCTGGTTCTCTGGATAGATGTTGAGCACAACTGAAAGAAAATGTGGGAATTGATGCGAAGATCTGCACAAACAATCTGAGACCACTGGAGACTGCCTCCAGTTGCTAGGCAGATCTCTGTCTCTCCAACCGGAGCAGATGATCTGCCGTGAAATGTGCTTGTTGGGTTGGGAGGTGTTTATCTGAAACAGCCATAAGATTGATCAGTGGGCAGGGTTTGGCCCATGCTCTTCATCTGGGTACATGAGTGGATGTGCTGTAGTCCCCCAAATGACAATCTTTTTCTTCTTTGTGGTGGGTAGAGGATGGGGTTCGAGTGCCACTTGACACCACAGGCGATTCATAAATGATGATTTTGTTCGGAGTTGGGGGATGGGGTTGCGCTGATTATATATGAATGATGCCCGTAGAATGACATCCCTTCAGAAAACCTTCTGGAATGTTCTTGAGAATATTGATTTACACCAGAATTGAGGTTGGGAATAGAAAGTACGGATGGGCATTTGTTCTTTAAAAGACTTTGTAAAGGAATGCAATGGACGTTCCGAGGCTGTACCTGGAGGTGAATGTTTCCTTAGGGGTCCCCCAGAGACAGAGGGAAAGAAAGACTTCTTGAGCTCACTGTCATCTTCTCATACCAGTCAAGGTCCAGAACCAGGCTCTGGCCACATTTTTATTTGGGTTTGGGCCCTAAAAATCCTTGTTAAAACTCAAATCAGGAACCCAGGGCTCTTGGTCCCATTTGAGAAGAAAGGAAACAGTATTCCCTCCCCCAGCCCCAAAGCGTGAGTGTCCACACCCATTCAGGAATGGCTTGTCTCTCTACCTTGTCCCAGGTGGGGTGGGGGCGGGGGTCCAAGCCCTGCCCGTCAGCAGCAGACACCTCCTGTGCCTCGGCTTATGCGGAAATCAACTCAGAGACACAAGACCCACCAAGAGCTCAATTCTTAGATTTTTCAATGTTTTCCTACAAGAGCCAAGTAGCACCATATACAGAATATGCCTTTTTTTTTGAATATCAAAATTGCTCTGCATGTAAAATATGGGATAATTACCTGTTTATATGAAAATTCGGAATAAATTATCTGAGAATACTCTTGTTCCTGTGTGGTGTCCAAGCCAGGACTTGTGAACTGTGTTAAGGCAAATCCCTGGGGTGTTGTGGGTATTTGTTATGAGAGGAGACAAATCCCTAGGTTCTTCATAACAGTGAATCAGGAGGTTAAATATTGTTGCCATAGGGTTAGTGATAACTCACTGATCCATACCTGTACAGTTGAATCAACCCTTTACATACTGAACTATTTCTATACTAGTTGGTAAGTACCTGCCACCTCAGGGACCCCAAACTTCCCCAGGTTCCAAACACTAACCCTAAGAATACCAGGGAACCCCAAGATCTTGCTCCATTCCACCATGCTGGAGAATTAGACGCGGAGTAGTGGCCAGTGCAGTGTTTGCTACTGTCTGCTTACCCAAAGGAAGTCACATAGATGAGCCCAGAGTCAGCCTCAGGGGAGGGAGGTCTGTCTGAGGGTTTTGATTGAGGGTGTGTGTGAGTGGGAGTCAGTCCTGCAACAATCACCCACACTTCTTACTTTACCCTTCTGTGATTGAGGATGATAGACCTTCCTTCATCTGACCATGTGTGTGTGTGTGTGTGCATGTGCGCACTCTCAATCATGTCCAACTCTTTGCAATCCCATGAACTGTAGCCTGCTAGGCTCCTCTGTCCATAGGATTTTCCAGGTAAGAATACTAGAGTGGGTTACCATTTCCTTCTCCATGGGATCTTCCCAACGCAGTGTCTCCTCCATTGGCAGGTGGATTCTTTACAACTGAGCCACCAGGGAAGCCATATGACCATAGTGAGGATCAAATAAGGTAACATTTATCCCCCAGACCCCTCCAGGTTCCTCACCACTAAGAAACTGATGCCACTGCTAGGTAGTAGCCTGAATTGTGCCTCCCTGGGTTTGTGAAATTCAATAAAGCCTCTTGGAAAAGGGAAATGCTTTTCTCCCCAGGAAAGAATCTCAAAGATACTTCAGTCTTGAGTGAGAAGCTGGGTGGGTGGCATCTTCTCAGAGGGGCCACTCAGACTCCTCGAACCCATGGCCAAGAGATGACAAGGCAGCTTTGGGTCCCTGGCACTCTGGCTCCAACTCAAATGTGAGCAGCATGACAGATGAGATATTTGTCACAAGCAAGAGGAAGCATATGGAAGCTTTGGTATGTCCAGAGTTCTTGCAGGAGGGAAGTGATGGGGCTTCCCTGGTGACTCAGTGGTAAAGAATCCACTTGCCAATGCAAGAGAGGCAGATTTAATCCCTGGTCCAGGAAGACTTCACAGGGGGCAGAGCAGCTAAGCCCATGCACTGCAACTATTGAGCCTGTACTCTAGAGCCCAGGAGCTGCAACTGCTGATCCCACTCGCCCTAGAGCCGGTGCTTAGCAACAAAGGAAGCCACCACAATGAGAAGCACACACAGTGCAACTAGACAGTAGAAGAAAGCCCACATGGCAGTGAAGACCCAGAACAGCCCCAAATAAAATAAATAAATAAATTTTGGAAAAGGCTATCCAGGAGACTTCCTACAGGAGGCGGCATCCCAATGGGGCGCTGAACTACGTATTTAAAAAAGAGGAATGTGATACTCTTAGCATGGATGACAGTGTTGGTTGTGGCCTACACTGTGTGATGAGATCCAGATTTTCTAGCTGTGATCTCCAACCTCCTGGGTGCTGCTGATTCATCCCTTGGGGTATGGTCTTACCCTCCCACCCCATGAAGCTGACTGTTCTGCCTGGGATTGGGTCCTCAAGGTAACTCACCCAGAATCTTCAATCTCACATACCTCTAGAAGCCCTTGTTATAGTCAGAGACTCACAGGAGGCCACTTTGGCTGACACCAGCCTGCACCACCCAGACCACCTCTTCAGAAGCTACCAGGGAGGTTGTCTGCTGGGAGCTCACAGTGAAGTCACTCAATCATGTCTGACTCTTTGCAACCCCATGAACTGTAACCTGCCAGGCTCCTCTGTCCATGAGATTTTCTAGGCAAGAGTACTGGGGCTCGCAACTGAGTCCTTTTTGCCAGAACTTTCCAAGGCTTAAGGGAGCTGCTTGGTCCAACGTTATGTCCCCTCCCTAGGGGCAGCCACATTTGATGAATGGCCAGGGATACAAATGCCTGACCTCTGTGCCTAAATACAAGTTGAGGGTTCAGTTGTGTCCCCCACTGCCTTAAAGAGATTATGTCCAAGTCCTAATCTCCAGCACCTTAGAATGTGAGCTTATTTGAAAATTACATGGTAGATGTAATTCATTCAGGTTTCAGGTGAGTTCACTTGGAGTAGGCTGGGCCCCTAATCTGATATGATGGTGGCCTTTATTAAAGGGGTAAAATTGGACACAGACACACACACATACACACACCCAGGGAGAGCGCCTTGTGAAGATGAAGACAGGAACTAGGAAGAAGAGTCTGCAAGCCAAGGAATGCCAAAAACCACCAGCAAACTGCCTTCAGGAGGAAGCAGCTCGGCAGACACCTTGATCTTCAACTTGCAGCCTCAAAACATAAAACAGAAGCAATATTGTAACAAACTCAATAAAGACTTTAAAAATGGTCCACATCAAAAAAACCTTTTAAAAAGGTAAGGTAAAATACAAATGGATAAAAGTTCTTTGTGGCTACAACCCTGGAGTCCTTTTAGTCTCTTATTCCCGCAGACTTGCTGGGGCTACTCCAAGGTCTCCTCGCCTCCACTGCATCTGAACTCACTGTCAGGACAGAAAATGATTCTAGTTACTGTGCTCTGAAACATGCAGCTGGTCAGCACTCCTTGGCATCTAGTTGTGCTGTTGTTAAGTCTCTAAGTTGTATCTGACTCTTTCTGACCCCATGAACTGCAGCACACCAGGCTTCTCTGTACTTCGCTAGCTCCTGTAGTTTGTTCAGATTCATGTCCGTTGAGTGGGTGCTGCCATCCAACCATCTCCTCCTCTGCTGTCCCTTTCTCCTCCTGCCTTCAACCTTTCCCAGCATCAGGGTCTTTTCCAATGAGTCGGTTCTTCACATCAAGTGGCCAAAGTATTGGAACTTCAACTTCAGCATCAGTCCTTCCAGTGAATATTCATGGTTGATTTCCTTTAGGATTGACTG